TTTGGCCTTCCATGTGGTCTCTTGCCTACTACTCTAGCATTCATTGTCGTGTAAAGGCGTCCTGATGGATTGCTACGAGCTACATGCCCTGCCCATCTTAACCTCCTAGCCTTCATGTCATGAGATATTGACTGACACGTTTCTTTCAGCAGTTCTTTATTGTTCCTTCTCCTCCATGTGTCAAGGTTCTGGTCCCATATAGGTCCTGTTATCCTACGTAGAACTTTTCTTTTGAATCTCTCAATTCTGGCTTCTAGTATGCCGGTTAGAGCCCAGGTTTCACAACCGTACAGCAGAACTAGCTTGATCAGGGCGGTGTACACCCTTATTTTGAGATTTCTGGAGATTTTTCTGGATTTCAGTACCTTTGAAAGAGAGAAGAAAGATCTGTTCGCACTTGTTATTCGCTGGTCTATCTCTGTTAGTTGGTCATTTATTGAGGTTATTGTGGAGCCGAGGTATTTGAATCTGTCTACTTTCAGGAATGACTGTAGTCCGATTTGCTCTGCTTCTTTTAATAGAGTCCGAGCGAGTCTCTCAATATCCTCTTGATTATTTCCGGAGACATCTATATCATCGGCATATTCTAGGATTTTATGTTTCATTCCAACGTGCACCCCTCCATTTTCGCGTGATGTTATTCTTATTACTTTCTCTAGTGCTAAGTTGAACAGATTCGGCAAGAGTCCATTTATCGCCCTCAAACCCGTTCGAACTTCAAAGGCTTCAGATACTTCTCCTTGTATTAGTATCCTGCATTTAGGATCATTTATACACGCCTTAGTCAACCTCACTAATTTCCTGGGAACACCCAGCTCAGTCATATATATATATATATATATATATATATATATATATATATATATAGGGTATCCCGTAAGTAGAGGGAAATATTTAAAAGGTTGATAATAGACGTCCAGATCTACAAAAAAAGGTTATATAAATAATTGCCCAATTTCCAGCAGAAAAGTAGGAAATTTAAGATTTGCGTTTTTATAAGTCTGTCACTTTTTTTGATGAATAGGAAATGATAACATAAAAAATATTTGATTTAAATAACTAAACATTGCTCCATAGCAAACTAAGCAAAATTTACTTTAAAGTGAAGTAGAGTTTATCATTTTTTAAACTATTTAAAGAGGACTATTGGGGGGGGGGCAAACATCTGGTCACCTAAAAGTACTCGTGTTATCAGCAAAAATGACTAATATGAACTGTTGCAAAGCTTTTATTTCTTGTTTTTCCGTAATATGGGATGTATTGTAATAAAAAAATTGCCTAAAAACACATTTTAATAATAAAATTTGATGTGTAAAAAGGTACTTTAAGGTGACTTGATATAAAATCACATCATTTCTTTACACAACTTGAGGTGAATCTCAAAATTTTTCCTAATAAATCTCAACTTAATCAATATGGACTTTAAGGCTCATTAAAAGAGGAAGTTTTGACATTTTTTTTAACGGAACTTAGCTGTATTTGTCCGTCCCCAATAGTCCTCTTTAAATAGTTTTAACAATAACAAATTCTACTTTTGTTTAAAGTAAATTTTGTCTAGTTTGCTATGGAGCAATGTTTAGTTATTGAAATCAAATATTTTTTAAGTTATCGTTTCCTATTAAAAAAAAAAAACATGACTTGCTTAATAAAACACAAATCTTAAATTTTCTATTTCTATTTCCGCTTAAAATCAGGCAATTGTCAATATGAACTTTTTTGTAGACAGGTTTCTGCTACTAATCTTTTAAATACTTTCCTCTACTTATGGGACACCCTGTATATATATATATATATATATATATATATATATATATATATATATATATATATATATATAACCACTTTTTCTTGATTCCTAATTTAGGCAGACAATTTGCAAATGGGTTAGATGAAATTTACTTCTTTGTTTGCAGGAAGTATTTTGCAGAGAATCCAGATCAAATCCCACCATTGTCAAAAGACAGATCATAATAAGACTTTCCTAAAGAACTTAGACTAACTACATTGAAGTACAATATTTTTAAAAATTGGTTCAATTATTATAATTATTTTGCATTAAAAAAATAATAATCATGACAAAAACATGATCCCTCAAGTTTCTTTCACTTGAAGAGGGACAGTACTAATTTTTTTTCAAACTATGAAACAACACTCACTACTGACTTTAAGTGCACCCTAGCTATCTATCAAGAAGCATACTTAACAGTTTGTAATAAAGCTTTCATTTGCCTTCCTGAATACTCAGTCTTCTACACTAATCAAGTCATATATGGCAAACATAATGTACAAATTGAACATACTTCTATTGACAAGCATTTGTCTATTATAAAAATACATCTATATTATAAAACAAAAATATTTTTTTGTATCTTACACTAAAGTTAGAAATAAATATCAATTCACTTTCAATATAGGAAAAATGTTCATAGACAAACATAATCTATAAGAGATATTACCTACCTATATTATTACATAAGAACTTGGAACATTATCAAATATCATGATATTCAAATAGGAATTAATTAGCTAACAGGATATAAAACATTTTTTTTTAACTTTTCATTGTTTATCTTTATTTAGTAACTTCTTTATTTTATCTGTTTTTATTTAGTGTATATTTAGGAAACCTTGAATAATCATTTAACAAAAAAATAATATAGTAGTATAAATATTTTAAACTTACAATTTATTTATATATAAGTACCAATACATATTTTTCTTGCTTTTTAATAAAGAAAAATATAATAAATAAATAATGTCATTTAAAAAAAAAAAAACAAGATATATTGACAAATTTTTATATTTGCTTTAATTTTCAGCAGCGGAAAGTGAATCAAGCAAATTCCTGGTGTTGGATTTACTACAGGCAAGTGTTCATCATTGCAAAAGGATTTTTACAACTATAAAGTTAAATTTGGATTTATTTATTCTATTATCCAACAATAATTACTAAAAACATTTTGTTGTTTTTATAAGTTCAAAATAAGAAAAATTGCTACACGACCAAACAAAATTATATTAAAAAACTGAGAACACTTAAAGCAAACATATAATAATTACTTTTAAAATATATAATACAAATTGTTAGAAAAGCAGACATAGGTCAAGAATAACAATTAATTTGTAAAAACATAGATATATTTTTTTACATTTCAGTGTTAATTAAAATATATAAAATTTAAAGACTTTAAAAATAATTATTTACAAATCTTTTAGTTATTCTATGTTTTTTTAATACATCAGTTATTTCTTTATTTATTACATGATACACTCCATGTATTGCAAACAAACTAGAGGCACTATACATCAGATACATCAGATAGAAAAATATAATCACATAATATAGGTATTAAGATAAAATGTTTTGAGTACATATATCACACACACACACACACACACACACACATATATATATATATATATATATATATATATATATATATATATATATATATATCTGAGTAAGTGTGTACATGCTTAAATATGCACACATTCATACATAAGTACAGTGGAACCTCATTAAATTAGAGTCAGAGGAAATGAAACCACTTGCATTAGAGGTACCCCATGACAGCAGAGGAAGAGGGGGAGGCAGAAAAGTTTGAATTGTAATTAGTGCAAAAACTCATCAAATATACAGGGTGTCCAGTAAGTAGAGGGAAATTTTTATAGGATAACTAAAAAAATATTTAATTTAAGTAATTAACAATTGTTGCACTGTGAACTAGACAAAATTTACTTGAAATGAAAATAGACTTAGTCATTGTTCAAACCATTTAAAGAGGACTTTTGAACGGCTAAATTAAGCTAATTTCTGTTTTAAAAAAAACATAAACTATTTGCGATATTTTTTTTTTCATCATTCAACTATTCTACAGATACCCCCTCAGCAAAATTTCGTCATTTAATTTTAATTTTGCCATTTAACTTTAAATCCATATTAATTAAATTGAGGTTTAGCAGGCAAAAACTTGAGATTACCCTCAAGTTGTGTAAAAAAATTATGTGATTTTTTATCCTGTCATCTAAAAGTACCTGTGTTTTCAGCCAAAATAACTACAATTAACGGTTTCAAAGCTTTTATTTCGATTATCTGAGATGTATTATAATAAAAATAATTGCCTAGATAAGCTTTTTTTCATAAAAAGAAAAAAATTAAAATAATGATTTTTCAAATATTTTTCATGTAAAGTGGTTATGAAACTGTGTTTTTCTGTCATAGGAATTGATCCATATTTATAAGAGACAAATTTAATGTTTCTAGTAGACAAAATTAGAAAAAAAATTAGACAAATTTTTTTTTGTACTTCTGCAGTTACATATCCATACCCTAGCAGCATATCTCTGTTATCCCGATTCGTGAAATAATTTGGCATAATGGTAGGCTTTGCCTTATTAGACCTACTGAAAGTCCCATTTATCATTGCTCTTAGTAAATTTAATAACTGTTTTCTCAAAAAAGCTTTCGTCTACTTTAGTATGGTGTAATTAGAATTTAATTATCTTGAACACTTTTTGAGCAATTCTTTCTTATTGAATGAAAAACATGATCACCTTAAGAAAAACACAAAACTGGTCTTAATTCCTTTTTCACTCTGAATCCGCCCATGCATCAAGTGAACTTTTTAGTTGGAAATTTTGTCTTGAATCACCCCCCAGAGTTTGGCCATTAAGAAGTGAGACACCCTGTATAATAAAATAAGCTTAAATTCATTTATTTTCTTTTTAAAAAACTATGTCGTAAAAGAAATAATGAAGAAAAAATGAAATAGGGCAGATAAATTACTTTATTATAAATTCAAACAAAAAATATCACATGATTTTTAAAAAAGGAGTGGACTTCTATCAACATGGAGTAAGAAAGAAGGACCACTGTATGTGTTTATACATATATTCCTTAAACTATTATGCATAAATTACTCACCTTATAATACAAAAACTTCCATTATATGGTGTTATATTTCGTTTAAAAAAAAAAAGTTGTATGAGTTTTATTCTTATCAAGATTCTAATTGAGGGGTTCTCAAAGAGGGTATCTCCTAGAAAAACAAGTAATTTTGAGCACATGATATTCATAGAAATAATTTACAGCATTCCACCCCAATAGGGATAAATGAATACAGAAGAAAACTCAATAAATGAAAAAAAAAATACAAATTACTTGTAATAATATAATATAAAACAGTATGATTCAGAAAGGAGAACATTAATACAGTGCAATCTAAGCAATAAAATCTCACTATAAAAAAGTTATTGACATTGTGGCTAATTTAACAACAAAATTGAAAAAAAAATAATAATAAGTCATGTCAAAGTCATACACCAAATACGTTTATACATCTATTAAATGTTTATATATCTATTCATCATCACTGTTGCATTATTAAGTTGGTCTTTAACATTTTAACTTTTCTTTTGTTTCTTCAATTTAATTACTTTTATTTTAATTGAATTTCGAGCCTATGAATTATTACTATTCCTAGTTATTTTGCTTAATGATCTGAAAAAGTACAGGAGGGGTCGTGACTCACGATGGTATAAAATATAAACATTGTGTTTATTTTGTTATTCAGCATATAATATAATGTGAATATTACAAATAAGTCAGTTCAGGCTAATATTTATTATAATCATTTAATAGAAAGTTTGGAGATCATTTATCTCCACATACTTTTGGACACACTCAGTTAGTTTCAGCATTCCATGTACAGTTTGATAAATGAGATCTTGGCACACTTTACTTTACTTTGGTTATTTTAATATTCAATATATAAATCTATACTTGCAGACAATTTATTTTACTCTCGTAAGTTAAGTTTTTTTTCTGGCATATGTAACGTAACAGACCCTGTAAAAAAATAAACCATCTATGTGGTCTTGGCCTAACTTTATATTTTTATATACGTATATACCTAAATTATACATATATATATATATATATATATATATATATATATATATATATATATATCAAAATAAAATATCAACTCAATAATAACAGGAATCTCTCATCTCTTAATAATATCAGGAACTCTATGCACAAACATAGGTGTTTGATTTTCTATTGCTCACTGTAAATTATACAATTATATATTATAATATTTTAAATAAGATGTTCCATTTAAACTATAAATAAATATTTAGGGGAAAGTTGTATTACCTCACCTTCCCCTAGCACCACTTCAGAAGTTTCAATTAAAAAAAAAAAATATGATACAAAGAGCAAGAAACAAATTTCTAATGAAATACGCACACCTGCCAAATGAATTTCCAGAGATTTTCCTAAATCATATGCATGCAGATAACACTTCCCTTTCCCTGGTTATATTATGAGGATCTCTTACCTTCTTTTATAAAAATGGAGTTATAGCAAGGCAATAAGATGCAATGTCTTGTTTTAATCACTATACTGAAAGGGAAACAATGAACAATATGCCATGGTGAAAATCCTTTTCCAAAAATATGTAAGGGAAGAAGCAATGAGAATGACTTCCAAAAGCAAAACAAACAGAAAATACTGAATTTCTCTTAAAAAAATATTGCTTTCTATACAATCAAATTCTATGTTGTCAATTTGATATAGTTGCATGCAAACAGGTTTAGGAATTTTAATCTTTTATTGTAAATAGTTTTCCCGAACATTCATTATAAACCAAACTTTTCAGTATTCAGAACCCACATTCTTCCCCTTCCTCCCTCCCCCCCAACAAGCTTAGATTACTGAGATCGCACTGTACTTCGATAACTCTAAACACAAATTCATGTAACTTAAAAACCGAATATTAACTCACTTTCTGAGTCATTATATTTATATTGATTATAGATAATTAAATAATCCTAAAAAAATATATAGAGAACGAAAAATTTATTTATAATTAAAAATATAAAATAACAAAAAATGTAAAATACATAATTGTACCTTCCTCCCACCAAACACCCTTTATTGTAAATTTATAATTAAAAAATAAGCTTAATTTGGCATGAATTAAAACCACACTGCATCCTTAGAATAAATAGCTGAACTAAAACTTCTCTGACAGAATCATTTATAATTTTATTTGTTGGGAATCATCGGGTGCAGGATACAAATAAATAAACCAACAAATTTAGTCTTGCCCTCTTAAATATTTAAATATATATATATCATAAGTTATTTTTTATTAATTATAATAAACTAATATACATAGTATTGATCGACTATTGATTGCCCATGTCTAAGGTGACCAGAATTTTAACATTGCTAAAGTGGGACACCATTGACCAGAGGGGGGGAGAGATTAGTTTGTAAAGCAGGACACCACTGAACGAACGGAGGGAAGGGGGAAGAAGTTCTTGATTAAAATTTAGCTCATTCATTAAGTTCAAACAATAGGTAAGGTGGGGTTTGCTGAGAGGGCTAAAACGTGTGCCAAGCACCGTGCGTTGCCCGGCAACCTGATAACAGAAGTTATGAATGATAAAATAGTAATGAGTTCCCGTCCTGGTGCCGAGGTTTTTAACTCAGGCATTAATTTTCTGCCCTCATCCCCCAAAAAACCCCATCCGTATAGCCTAAGAGGCAAGGAAGGGGAGAACAAAAGTCCAAACTATAGTTCAAATTTGTTGTTACAATAATTAATTTTACATAATGATAATCTGGTGCAAATGTTAATCAGGTGACATATAATTCAGCTGAAATAAGGTTGAGAATTTAGTTTTAAAGGCATATTTTTGAGAAAGAATAATTTCATGATGTATTTGACACCTAATTTATGACTTTAATAATAACACAGTTTTTAAGACTTAAATGTTTCATGCCAGCAATTCGTTATCATTCAAGTACCTCTTTTTCAAAATGATAATAACTTATTAAAGGGGACATTTCAGTAGTTGAAGTAGTAAAAGTTTGCTGATGCCCATGATTTAACCTTTTCCTTATCAACATATCTTTTTAATAATGAAACTTCATTAAAAGGATCATTTTCAAGTTGTTTAATATCATTAAGTCCAAACAATGGTGGTCGAATTTTAAAAACTGATCAACTATGCGAACTTTGCTAAGCAGTTCTTGATAATCAGTTCTTTTACAATTTATTAATAAGCAAGTAAGTAAATATTAATTTATTATTAAAGCTTAACATCATAAAATTAACAAAAATAACATAAAACCCATATCCTGGTAAAATAGCTACGTGGCCACTGAAAACCGTATATTCTCTTGCCGTTTCTTAGCTTGTCATGCATTCTTTCCAAAAATTGGGACTTTTTCAGAACACCACAGGGCGTGGTACAAATTGTAAAAATCGGGACTCTCCTGTCAAAAGCGGGACATCTGGTCACATTACCCATGTCAAAACATAACAAAAGGTTACAAGCTAACAAAAGTTGATCATTAACATGCTGGAAGTGCGTACAATGTGTTTCTCAATATTAGAGATAAAATAAATAAATAAAATCAGCATGTATACTAAAGGAATAGATAGAAAAGGCAGAAATAGGATTATGAGAAAGAATCATATCACTTATCACCTTAAGACAAATGCAAGAAAACATATGAAACAGATATGATAAAATGACATTTCATCAAATTAAACAGAAAAGCTACTTTATTTCCATACAAAAATATGAAGTTTGTAATATAAACAAAGTTAAGAAAGCTTCAGATTTTATTTCAGTAACTAAATCAATTTATGAAAATGTAAAAGAAATGTTAACATAGGAATGTTGGAAAAATATCAATATTTTCAAACAATAAATTGATATTATAGTCCGATATTTTTAATACCCATATATTGATATTAAAATTTGACTATCAAAAACCTAATACTTCTCCAAAAAAAAAAAAAAGTAATAAACAAACAAAAATAAAATTTAAAAAGCCTACTATACAGCCTAAAAAGCTGAGAGTATTTTTATGCACAATATCATTTCAAACACATTAATAACCTTATTCAAACATCACTTATTTCTTCATCTTATCAACTATCAATCTTACATTTATATTTAAAGAAGAAATCCCCATGTAAATGCAAAAAATGTATAAATATTTGTGTATAAATACATTTTTTCAATACGTATTAACTTTAACAATTTTTTCTCTAGTATCGTATTTCACTCACAACATTTTTATAATAGTTAAAATTTTAACTTTTATATCTGCATTAATTTGTCTTTAATTTATAATTTAAATTATTTTTTATCAATAAAGCCAAGCAAATATTCCTTTTCCTCGCAATTGTAACTTTGGTTCCAATTTTTCCTCCCTCAATATACGCAAGCAGTCGCTATTCCTAATCAACCTTTGTTTTCCTATCTTATTTTGTCCTCAGGGGTGGCATAGGGCTCTGGCATATCTCATCTTCTTTTTAATTCCAATATCAACGACCATCATAAATCAATCCTTCGTTGTTCCCATCATCTCTATGCCGATGACTCCCAAATTTACCTTTACTTTCCTCCCTCTAAGATGTATGATGCATTTGCCAAAATTCAAGAAGATCTAAATTAGAACAGTTCCTGGACAAACTTAAATGAATTTCAGTTAAATTCTGCAAAAACTCAAGTCATTGTCATTAGTTCCAAACCCTTTCTCAGATCCAATATCAACATTCCTATCCTGTACCTAAATGACCATCCTATCACCTTCACTTCATTGACCAAACCCTCTTTTGGAATCACCATATTGACAACATCCCCCAACGCTCATTTGGTACTCTGAAACTACAACTTTCATTCTACGGGTTTTTCTTTTTAGGGAATGGTTGGTTGATCGTTGTTTTCTATCTTACCACTTAAGCAAATTATTAAGCTTAAGTACTCATTTGACACAAAATTTAACATTATTTAATTATTTAAAGAGTGCATTTTTCACTTTGATGCATTGTTTATATGTTTCATATGAAAAAACAAAAAAAGATAGAAAATATCTGGCTTTTTTGGCAGTAAAAAATTTTCCCTTAGTGGCCCGCATTAGAAATTTTGATTTTTATATGTTTAAACCCATATATACAAGTAGAACAAAATAAAAATTTTTCCCACATTTTTTGAAATGAATTTACCGTTTCGATCTTCAAGTTGCTGACCTAATATTCTTTAAATCAGCTGCCATTTATTAAAGCAGCGGCTCTGGCAGACAATATTCATTTTACTTAGAATAACATAAACTTTCATAATTTACATTTAAACCTTCACCTGCGATCAGGACAATTTCCGGCCCTGGCTCCAGGGCTATTAGTATCTTTTGTATATATTTGTATTTTCCTTAGTATTTTGTTTTTATATATATTTATATTTTTTGTAATTATTTGTATTATATCTACATGCCAGACTAATGTACATATTTTTTTAACTCTGCTATTATTTTAAAGGGACTTCAGTCCCAGAATAAAATTATTTTTCATTTCATACTTGCCTTATGGCTTATGTTTTAGCTATTCTTTATTAAAACAAGTCTTTTAGCCAGATCTAATTTTAATTTGTATAAACAATATTGTTATTTTTAAGGGACCATGCCCAAGAATAAAATTGATTTTTCTATTCTATTCTAGATCCATTTGGCTATTTTCTTACTTCTGTTTCATTACAATAACATTTTTTAACAGTACAGGATAGTTAGCGCGGCCCTATCAACACCCACAGTCTTGGAGGTTATTGATTTTTTTTAATAATGAGCATAATTTGTAAATGTCTCTATTGAATTATAAATGACAATTATTTAACAGATCAGTGATAATGAATTTTTTTTAATTCAAATACTTTTTTTTCTTTTTACTTTCACTTATTTATAAATCAAATGGATAAAAATAGAAAGTAATGTGATCATTAAGAAATCATAATCAGAGTTTTTAATGGAAATAAAAGTCTTCAGGTCCACTGATTCTAAATAACCAAGTCTTGCAAAATGGTCTGTATGTATGTGAAAAGTTGAACGAAACTGATTTTACGTATTGCAGATAGATATATCCGCAGGACATTGCAGCAACTTTTTTGTTTAAATTGACTTATTAGAAGTACCACTTTATACCACTGATTTTACAAATTTTTACTATTTTCACCAAAACAGCTCAAATGATTTTGATTAAATTCATTGTATCAATGTACAATTAAATGTTCTCAAACATCAGTTAAGTCTAATCCTTATTGAAATAGACTCATGAAGATGAAATTTTCTAAATTTCTACCTTTAAAGGACCTTTAATTTTGTTTACTTAAAATAATTAAACCTCTCTCATCATTAGTAGTAATGCCAAATGGATAAATACAAACAATGAAAGAATTGGATAATTAAATAAAGGAGAAAATAGAAGAAATATTTTTGTAGGTTGAAAAAAAAATCTGGAAATAAGAGTACTATTAATGATTTATAATATATTATACTGTTGGAAAGCTGACGATTTTAGAAAAAATTAATATTTAACTCGGGGTTCAGCTCTTATATCTACTCTGTTGTGTCATGTGTTCAATAAAACATGCTGTATATCATTTTCTATATTCGCAATGATGGTGTTTGGTAAATGTAACAATAGCATTGGGTCAAAAAGTACGGTGGTAAGTTGTGAAGACTGCAACAAAATGTTTCATGCCCATTGTGCAAAACTATTTAGGGATTATTTGCAATCACAAAATTTGATATAGTTTTGTAAAATTTGTTTTTAGTTGAAAAAAAAAAGAAAAATGTTGTATGTTAATATTAAGGAGACAGGAGGCAAATTACAATTATTATATCTAAAAAATCTGGTGCAGTGCGCATGTCACACAAATTTCACTACCATCCTACTTTGAGTAGCAATTGGAATTTTCATACATAAGGGAGTGAAAGTAAAACTTATTATGAAGTGATGGTACAACATATTATTTAAAACAATTAATTACCATATGTTTTTCACATCAGTCTAATCTATTAAATTTATACCTTTTTGTCACTACCCATTTCCTTCTACAACTGTGTTAAAAAAGATCTGAAATCATTAGAAATTAGTATTGTCAATCTTTAACAATATACATGAATTAATGAATGGAGTTATGCTGGTATAGACATGTGAGATTTAGTCTTGTATTTATAGCATTAGATTTTTTTAAAAAATATATATGCTATGTAGTAGTAATAGTTTAATGTAGTTTATTAGTGATATTTTATATGACTATGATGCATTATGAAAAGGAGAGGAAACAAAAATATGTAATAATAAAATAATGTTATGTTCATATGGATTGATAAGTATGGTGTGCACAAAGCAATCCTATGAAGTAGGAAAGCATTAATTTCAATGAAGTATTTCTCTCTGTAAAAATAAATGATTTTCCTAAATTACCTAATGAAGACATTATAAACACGGTCAAATACATTGGGAAGGGATTAGGTATGAACATTAAAGACAATATGACTGATGTATGTTCTGGTTTACAGTCCATCCCAGGTAAGCAAGGATCTAGGAGAATTATTGTCATGTTCGTATAAATATATGATAAGGAGATGCTTTTCACTCCTAAAGTGAAGAGGAACTTTAATACTAGACATGTCCAAAGACAAACAGATAATTTCCAAAATAGATTAAAAATATGTTGGCAACTGTAAGACTTTATAAGGCTGTAAAAGAAGCAAACAATCATTTGCAGTTCAAATTATTATGGACAATTATTATGGAATTTTCATCAAACTTGACAAAAATTCCACTATTATTATAAATAATGAAGAGAGTATTTAAAATTTACAGCCTGTTACACTATGAAACTTTCTTATAAATATTATTATTCATGATTTCTTATAAATATTTTTATTTCCTGATTTTTATGTTGTTTAAAAGCAGAAGTTATTTTTTAATTTATCAACTTTTAGTTGGTAAAAAAGGTAATTATTAAGTTCTCTGAATCACTTTTATAATCTTATGTATTATAGTTTAAAATCTGAATGGATGATTTAGGTTTTTATTCTTATAATCAGAATGTGCATGGATTTAGAGCTAAAATGAGGGAATTTTATAAAAACATTTTGATTTCAAACTATGATATTATAGATTTGACTGAAGCTAGTGTGCATAATGGTATATTTAAATTATAATTGTTTGGTTTTCTCTTCACAGTCTATAGAGCTAATAGAAATATTAAGGTCCCCTGAGCTCAAATAGCTAAGTTTTTCAAACTGGTTTGTGTACGTGTAAATCAAAAATATATAGCACACAGAATTGTCATAAGTTTATATTTACAGTTAAAGTAATATTCTTAAGGTTTATTTATTAAAAAAAAACAATAATTTCTACTAAAAATAGGGTAAATAAATAAAATATGTGAAATGCACCACACGAGATTTTTTATTATATTTTTAAGTATTACAATGTACCACATTAAGAATAATGACTAATAGAGTATGTACACACTAAAACCAAAAAAATAAAAAGTTGTAATACAAATTAAAAATATCACTAGATCTCAAATAACCCATTTCTATAGTATTAATCAATATAGTATAAAAAAATCAATAAAATAAATGAAATATATAACATTTATGAAATATATAACATTTATGAAATATATAAATACCTTTTTTATAAACTTGATATGTTCTTCTAGAGATTCACTATGTCCAGATGCAGCAAGTAATAGATCACCAATGCTTTCTCTAGGATGAATCCCACATTCAAACCTACAGTACATTCCTCGCCAAAATCTGACAAAAAAAAGTTAAAAGTAACATAAATTCCCTTTTTCTGTCAACAAATTAATTATATTACATAATTTATGGTAATTATACTACCATAAAAAACTATATGTTTGATCAGTACATAAACTCACAAACATTAATAAATAGAGAAAGACATTAATTCATGTAGGACATTTAAGAAAAAGCCTATACATCTACAGCACACGAAGGATTCAGCACTTTATAAGGAAGTACTGTTTCTTGGCCAGTAGTTTTTCAAGTTGATTTGACAGAGATCAAGCGGAATGGAACGGAATCAGTTTTCTCCTTATTTAATTAAGAGTACTCACTTTAAGGCTGGATGAGTCCAGGAGGGTTCCCCTACACAAGTATAGATCCACGGCTGATATAATAGAATAAATAATTACCTGCTCAGCCAGACTTGAACCGAGGACTTGGAGCATAGAAGCATAGTCCCTTACTACTCACTAAGCTATCCCACTCCCTAATATATGAGTTAAAACGTCATTAAAATTCTGCATTATAACATTTATGAAAAAGCTGGAAAAACTTATGATTTATTAATTTGGAGATGGCCCTTAATGTTTTCCTTAACAACCGTAACTTCTACAAAAGAGTAAGAAATCGGTGAGGAGGGTGCAAGCAACAGTCACAGATATATTTGGGATTAATTTAATAAATAATAAATGGGATTAATTAGAATTGGATAGCCTATGTTGTATCTACCATATAGGTCTTCATCAAGACTAAAAAAAACAAGATACAAAAAATTATTGTTCATTCATACAAGGTACAAAATAAAATAAAATAAAAACTAATATTAAATTAGTACAAGATACCAAATACAAAGCACAGATTTATTGTCAGGGTGAAAAATGACAAGTAGTAAATGAAATTAATATAAACAGAGTAAAATAAACAGCATAATAAATGGAAATGCAAACAGTAAAAGATAAATTAACCTTAATACATGCCCCAGAAATCATCTTCCAGCAATCTAAAAAAACACTCTAATCATATCTTTCTTTATTGAAGATGGGTTTCTGACAACTTTAAACTAAAAGGTTTAATTAATTAATGTGTTAATGTTTTCATAATTACTTCGGGAATTAAGAGATTCACTATCGGTCTGTGAACTAAAATTGGTACTAGTACTGGTATAAAGTACAATAAAGTATAAAGTAGATGTGACTATAAAGAAATGAGACCGACACTGCAACAGAAGAAATATGCATGCGCCAAACACAAGCTAACTACAGCTGTCTAGCGTGAAGTAGTACCTATCACTTCTGTAAACAAATCCAAGCAGCTGTAGACTTCATTCTCATAAGAGTTGTATTTTTGTTTCAACGGAAAAATAAAAACTTACTTAAAGTAATACAGAAAAACTTAATTAAAGTGCAACAATAAAGCAATGAACAGTTCTGAAATGTTACTTCAAACTTGGAAAAACGATGCACTAATTCATGCATTGCAAGAGCACAACTTCAACAACAATTGAAGTACTCGGTTTCCCCTCTCTTCTCCTCTTCCTATCCTCATTATTTTTGTTTTGTGGCTGTTTATTTCCATGTTAAACAGTTCTAATTCTCTCTGCAGGATTCGGATGTTTCTTCCGTTGTTCCTGAATACCACGATATCGTTGGCATATGCCAGAAGAGTGAGATGAACTGGTTGTAGTTCTCTGTGGCCCAACCTAAAAGGTCTCATTCTTTCCTTAGCTCTCTTCAGTGCCATGTTGAGCACTATTATAAACAATAAAGGGCTTAGACTACAGCCCTTCCTTATTCCTTGGGTGCTCTGAAACTCCCTAGAGGTGTGGTTATTTATTTAAATATTCGATTTATATAGGCAAAGAATGACCCTCGCTAGGCCTGGATCGACTTCATGCTTGTTAAGTGCTCTGATTATGTCCGTCTTTCTGACCTTATCGAATGCTTGGGTTAGGTCCATAAAGCAGGTATATACCTCTGTATTCTTTTCCATGAGCTTTACTGAGAGCTGCCTCATTATGAATATTAGATCTTGGGTGCTTCTTCGTGGTCTGAAGCCATATTGTTTTTCTTCTAGGGTTCTCTCAATGAATTCTCTTAGTCTCTTCTCTAGAATTTTAGAGTATATCTTGCATGGCACACTAAGCAATGAAATGCCTCTGTGGTTTCGGCATTCCCGGTAGTCTCCTTTTTTATGAATTGGTACTATGACTGAAATTTCCCAATCTTTGGGTACTTTTTTCTTTTTCCACACCAAATTCAGTAGATGCTGAAACATTTCCTGCTCTTTTGCTCCCATATACTTCAGTATTTCGGGGGTTATACTGTCTATTCCTGGCGATTTGCCCATTTTCAGGCTGTCAATTGCATCTGCTATTTCCTCTTCTCCTATGAAATCTTCCTCATCCCCATTAAACAAAATTAGTAAATAAAATTCAAATATTATGTTAAGATTTCAAAGTATAGAAATATACAATAACAATATTAAGGGCGTGGTAAATTTTAATAATGTACTTAATTCTTACCATGACAAGTCAATTGGTGACAGTACATCAAGAAATAAGATGAGAAGAGAATTTCAAGACAAAAATTTATATGATAATTACTCAATTCCAAAATGGATACATTAACTCCTACTTTAATAGACAAATAAATCATCATTGGTGCAGTCATAAAGATTTAGACTTCAATATACAATTAAGTATAACACTCTAATATACTATATTACAAAGCTATGTAATATAAACTCATGAAAAGTCAATTATAAGATTTTAAAACAAACCAGATAATTAAAATTAAAGCCAGGATATAGTTTCAATTCTAAAAATCTGGTGCAAAGCATGACTCACACAACTTTCACTTACCAACATTAGAGCAGATAGGTATTTCCTTATAGAAGTTGAAGTGAAAACAACAGTATAACTTAATTCAAAACAATTAATTACCATGTTTTTCCCGCCCATCAAATCAGTTAAATTTATACATTTTCATCAATTTCCATTTCCTTTTTCTTTTACGACTGAGTGTAGCATCAAAAAATACTAATGATTGTGAGGAAAATAGATCTTTTGTAAAAATTCTGAGTTTTATTGGAAACATCTATCATGAAACTCAACAAAAAAATAACTTACCGTTAGTAAATATTGCATATTATTAGGTTCATATTAGTAATTTCTCAACGTTTCACGTGAAAAACTTTTTAAAAATTATGGATAAATGATAAATAAATGTTAAAGTAACAATATGAAAGCCCTGTACAGAGGGGTATTGGATATCTGTAAAGGAAGAGGATCGGCTAAATAGCTGAGCTTCCTACAAAGCTAATATCGTATAGCTTCCTACCCTTATTTCCCCTTTAGTTACCAATAAATTTTCTTCATTCGCTATATTTAACTATTTTTTTTAGCAGGTTCAAATGTGAAATGGTTAATTATTTCAAATAAAATATATATACTTTAGAGCAAGAAATGTTGAAAAATTGACATTTAAGCCCCGTCAGGTTGCATCGATAAGGATAAAACCTACCTTAAATTAAAAACCACTTAATAATACACTGATCTAGTGAGTTAGTGAGTTTAATCAAAATTGCAAGAGCCATGTTTGAGAAAAAATGTGTTAAATTAAAGTACCACTTCCGGTTTGCTGATTTTGACAAGAAAGCTGCTGTAACATCCTAGGCATATACAAACCTTGAATAAACAATTTCAGTTTCATACAACTTTTTGTTTCTGAGCTAGGCTGTTCACACACACGCACGCACACACACCATTTTGTGGGCCTTGGTTATTTAAACTCAAGGGACCGTAAAATATTTATTTCCATTGAAAACTCGGATTCAAAATTTTTCATGATCACAATACTTACCCTTACTATATATTGCATATATAGATAAGTGAAAGTAAAAATAAATTAATAAATAATGGGAGTGGGGTAGCTCAGTGTTTAATGGCACTGACTTCCAAACCTCAAGGTACACGATTCAAATCCAGCTGATGACAGATAATTATTTGTTCTGTTTCATCAACTCTGGATCGACCCTGGGCTCAAGAGAACCCTCTTAGGGCAATCTCAGCCCCTATAAAGCGGGTACTCTTAATTAAGTGGAAAACCTGATCTCGGTTAAATCATCTCTTTGCACAGCCATTGATCAAGAAATAGTACTTCCTTACATGGAACTGAACCCAAGAAACATCATGGGTTGTAGATAATAAAAAAAAGGTAAAGCCAGGATATATAATAGTTTCAATTCTAAAAAATAATTACTAAATAACCACTGATTTCTATAAAAATAATTTTTATATATTGATTTATTTTTAATTTACCTGATATTTTGTGGAAGTAAATTAGGTCGTAAAATTTCATTAAGGGAACTAGCTGAATAAATAGAATTAATGTATTCTCTCATATGGTTAGCCATATAACCCCATAGTGAAAATGTCCTTTCCTTTAGCCTAAAAAATGTACACATGGATCAAAACACTAAATAAAATAGTTCTTTAAATTTATAATTTTTTTTTTAATGTTACTTGAAGGTACCAGTATGGTAATATTTAAGGAAATAAAATTCATTGAACTAAACATAGAATCTGAATTAACCAAAAAATAAAAACAATACGATTATTGCCATTACCATGAACATCAATAGAAAAGAACAAAAACTCTTTTATTAACATTACATTTTTTATTACATCACTATAGTGAGAAATTAAGACAAAGCTTCCATGACATTTTTTAACCACATTCCGCTGTGACAATTCATGAGAGGTTGAATTACTAACTGCCTATGAATCACCTTGAGACTTTGAGTATGTATGCTTTGGACAAGGACATGACTTCTTAGGCTGACGTACTTACTTAGTCTAAGCATACTGAATCAGTGAGAACTGCTGTCAGAGGAAAATCACACTGGTAAATTATACAATAATGTTCCAGGCAAGGTTTATTGTTTTTATTCTTTTGAGCAAATGGGTAGGGTTATCAGAGAGCTAGAGAGGCAGATGAGTCTGGGAGATTCATCTCTTACAGCATAGGCATAGACTTTCCATTTTGATTAACCATGACAGTGGACAAAAAAAAAAAAAAAAAAAAAAAAGTGGGACATTATATGAAATTTAAAAAGATAAAGCTATAAAATTAACATAATTTTTGTGAAACGAACAATATAATACTGGATATTTACAAATAAATTTATACACAGGGTGTCCTGTAAGTAAATGGAAACATTTATAGGAATGATAGCAGACTTCAAGAGCTAAAAAATTATTTATATTAACAATGGTCCGATTTTTTGCCAGAAAAGTAGGAAATTTGAGTTTTGTGTTCTTCTAAATAAGTCATGTTTTTTGTTGAATAGGGAGAGATAACTAAAAAATATTTAATTTCAGTAATTAAAAATTACTCCTTTGAAAACTAGACAAAATTTATTTCAAATGAAAATAGAGTTTGTCAATGTTAAAACCATTTAAAGAGGACATTTGATTGGCTAAACTAAGCTAAGTCCTGTTTAAAAAAAAAAAAAAAAATTATTTGTGATTTTTTTTATCATTCTCTATATAGAGACACCCCACTTATAGAGAAACTTTCTTGTTTAATGACCATCACATCCATATTATTTAAGTAGAGGTTTTTATGGAAAAAACTTGAGATTCACCTCAAGTAGTGTAAAAAAAATTATGTGATTTCATGTCACCTAAAAGTACCCGTGTTTTCAGCAAAAATTGTTACAATAGATTGCTGCAAAGCTTTTACATTTTGTATTTCCATGAATCTGGGATGTATTATAATAAACATAATTGGCTAAATGCACTTTTTATTTATAAAAAAAAGTCAAAAATAATGATTTTTCAAGTAAAGTGGTTATGAAACTGTGTATTTCATCCAGATTTCTATTATAGGAATAGATCCGAATTTATAAGTGGCAAATTAAATGTTCTTGATTCTAATATTTTCACATGAAAAAAATTGAAGCAATCAGTAGGTTTCTTAATTTTAAAAATAAATTTTAGGACCAGAAACATTTAATTTTTCTAGAATTTCTAAACAGTTCTTTAAAATTTCTAAAAAATATCAAAGATGAATTGCCAGGTCCACAGCACCCTGCCATTAAATTTTATGAATTGAGAAAAAAAAAAAATAAAACCGACATGGCTGGTAAGGGTGCGGGGAAAGTGTCAAACCCACAAAGGGCCAACAAGGCATATAGCAGTAATCGGCAAGAGTCGCAGTCTCGACTCACAGTCTCTCCTACCCCTTAGACAAAAACCATTGTCTGTCCTTTAAATAAAAATTCTAGCCCTCTTTCTTCCAAAGATTCATGAGTCATTTTCAAGGGAACAAGAAGGAAAATAAGAGTAATATATGACAAAATAAAAATTTTTGTGCTTTTATAATGACGATTGGCTATAACGATTAAAATTTACTTGGTCCCTTAAAGGTCATTATAAACGATATCCAGTGTATATACATGAATCGTAATGAACTGAAGGGGTTGAAGAGGTATATAAATATAAATAACAACAGAATGAAAATACTACCTCAGTTCCTGTCTATCTTTCTCACTGTTTCCAACAAACGTTCCATACTGGCAAGAACTAATATGGTCATGAAGAGTGAATAAAAAAAACTCATTAAACTGAAATTCTAAAGGAAATTGCTGCATTAACTGCCATGTGCAATCAATCATCTGTGTAAAAATGGGTGATATTTCTTTTGAATCTCCACCTAAATGGCCAACTCTGTCGGTAAACTTATGGCCAAAACTAAGCCATTCTTTTTCAATTAATGCCTGAAAAAAATATATATATACATAAGAGAGAGTCGTCTTAAGTGATTCAGAAATATAATCAATGATAGTTTAAAAATTATTGTTTTATAACTTAAAATCTATAGACATTTAATAGCAATGAAGTATACAAAGTTAGCATCTATAGATTTATGAGATTTATTAGAATAAAACTAATGAAAAAGTGGTTTAGATGGAGCTTTTGTACAATAGACAACTGTAGGAAAGATGACTCCGTCCATTATACAGAAGTGTCTTCAAATCAAAGAGTCACACAGACAACAACACAATATAAAAATTACAGCTATACAGCATGTTTTCTGAACAAAATAGACTCCTTCTTTAGTTTGGTCTAAAATTACCAACATGTGTGATCAATTTGGCCTTGTGACCTAACAAAACCTTTTTAAATGATGAAGTTTCTCCAAAAAAGTGAGTTCATCCAAGAAACTTAAACGTGTAAAAGAGCCTTTAGATCTGAGCAGAATCCACTGATGCTAGCAAACCACTAATTGTTTTAAACACAATTTTATGTAATTATTTAAAGCTATTAAGCCCATCAATTTTGTTGATGACTTCTCTTGGTCCATCTCTAATTAAAAAGACACTGTAGCACTTGTCAAATTACCATGAAATAAACATAATATTTTATTTATTATTTTAATTATGTGAGACACTCGACTTGTACTTTTTGAATCCAGCAGCTGAATTATAAACCAGTCCAGCTGATTGTTTATCATTCCTGCTTATTCTTTCAAATTATGCAACTATTTTGATTTTGACAGAGGTGATATTGTCAACAATAACTCGATTTTAATACATAACATACACTGAATGCTGGTCATATACACGGTTATACTTCTGTTAATGATGTGAGTACCCTGTAATGTAAGCGAGAAGGGTTTCAGAAAAAATAATGGGAAAATTAATCCGTTCGTGAATTATTGGAGATACATACAAAAATTTTGAGAATGAAAGATTTAACTAATTACTAAAGAAAGAAAAAAATATAAAAGCATCACTTCCTTTTAGTTAATTTTAATACAAATTCATTTCTAAATAACGTATATTTTTACAGTAATTTGACATAAGAATTAATTTTTTAAAAAATACCTATACACCCACTTACTGAGAATACACAATCCATAATTTATACTTCGATATAATTTTTTGTTATTGATTTAATGTTTAGCCAAAAAAAAATTAATATAATAATAAATGATATTGAATATTTAATAGTTGACCGTTGCATTATTAAGGAAGGAGATGGTCCGAGGTGACAGTCATAAATAGACTAAATAGTGCCAAAACTATTTTATTAAAAGCCAACGTTTCGACCTGACTGCAGATCTTCTTCAGGACAGAACGGACAAGATACAAAAAGATATAGAGAATTGTGGAAATTACATAATATTTAGACAAAAAATTATAAACAATGTGAATAAACTTATTAAAATTATGAACAGTAAGTACATTAAAATATAAACAGAGTAAGCTAAGTAACAAGATCATAAACTGAAGTAAATAGATGGTAATGGTAACAATTGTTGTAGTATAATATATGCAATTGTGAATATATTCCTACAGATCTACAAGAGAGATTGGAAGAAAAGGGAAAAGGATATAATATGAAATAATGGACATAAAGGGATGGAGAAAGAAAAGAAAAAAATAAATAAATCAAATTAGAAGAATAAAAATAGAGAATTACAGGTGTGTTCAGCTAAGAGTTTCACTTAGAACTGGAAAATCAGGGTAAGAGTAGGTATTGGGGAAAGTTGTTGACCTGTTTGGGTAATGGTGAAGGGCTAAGTAGTAAAAAAAAAAAAAGAAAAAAAAAAAAAAGAAAACCTGGAGAATTACAGTATCTAAAATTTGAAGATATGAATTATAGATAGGAGTACAATGTGAATAAAAACAAAAATGAAAGAAGTAAAACATACATAGAAATAAAATATAAATATAGAAATAAGAGACCATACATTGTAGAACTAATTTAGAAGTATAGAAAGGAAACAAATATGAATAATTATAATTACATTTAGTTGTGCATATGTAAGAAAAGCAAATTTAAATATTAGATAATATTGAGACGCAATGGTTAAAAAGTAAAATGAATACAAAGTGAAAACGGATAATGATACATTGATGTAGAATGTTAATATAAAATAAAAGAGAGATCATAAAAAGCGGAAATACTTGAATAATGAATGATTAAATTGAATTAATTAATAAAAATTTAAAAAATAATACGACGTAATAAATAAGTTATTTTTCACTAATAAGATTTAAAATGTGCCTATATGTTAAAGAAATGGAGTTTTTATCTACTTTATGATTAACAGGATTCTGTTCCATGTGAATGTGGATGGATTCGGAAATGAATCTTTTTTCATGGTTTTTGAGGGTTAAGGCATGTTCTGATAGTTTGAAGGCGGAAGGGTTCCGGGAAGTTATTGATGTTATAGAAATAGAAATAGAAATAGAAAAAATCATTTATTCTGGGACTAGGTCCCTTTAGAATAACAGTATTGTTCATATATTAACTAAAAATCTGGTCAAAAGACTTATTACAATGAATAATGACAAAATACATGTAATACATTAAGTTTACATGTAATACAATATGTTATATGTTGGGAAATGCGGGTTTTGAGATGGTTTTTGGTTTCGCCAATATAGGAGCTATTACAATTAAGAGTAGAGCAAGATATTCAGTAAACTACATTAGATTGGTGTTGTAAAAGTATGGGATCCTTGAAGTTGGTGAAAAGGAAAGAAAGTTTGTTGTGGGACTTAAGGCCAAGATGTAAGTTGGTTATAGTCAATTTAAGGAATTTTTGTATATTATCTGAGAGAATTGTATATTATAGGAGAGAAATTTGTAAATGAAAGGAGTGGTAGGTGATTGTGGAGAGGTGAGAGAAGGGGAGGTTGTACTCTTTTTGGTTGTACAGTAGTTTAAAAGTTTAAGTATAGTGTTGAGAGGGAAATTATTGGAAAGAAGTATATTTTTGATATGCTGAGTGTTGGCTTGGTGATATTGTGGATCAGATAAAGAGAGAGATCGGTGAATAAGGTTTTTTGCGGTATTGATTTTTCGGTGATATGGGTGTTGAGAATAAAAGTTAAGTAGTCTGCCTGAGGACGTGGGTTTAGTATACCAGTCAGTAGAAATACAGCCATCAGTGCTTTTTCTTATTAGGAGGTCTAAGAAGGGGAGTGAATTGTTAACTTCTTTTTCTATAGTGAAGCGAAGACGGGGTGGTAAGAGTTTAATGAGGAAAGAATTTGAGGAATGCCGTCAGGGTTAAGAACAAGGAGGAGGTCATTGACATATTTTTTGATGAAAATGATGTCTTGATGGAAAGAAGGGATAAAGAAGTCTAGAAGGTCATTAAGAACAATATTGAAAATATCTGGTGCTAAAGAAATTTCCCATGGCTAGGTCTGAAATCTGGTTAAAGAATTCTTCTTGGAAGGTGAGGTATCCGGTCATCAAGAAAGCTCAAGGGATTCAAGGTATGAGGAGGTTGAGGATGGTGTGAGGTTCAATGATTGTCCAGTTTTTCTGTACAATGTGGAGGGTTTTGTCTATTAGAATGTTGACAAAGAATTTTAACATTAGTGTATGGGTTGGGTCATGGGGAGGAGGTTGAAAGTAAATTGTTAGGTTTGAAAGTAGTTAGTTGATGCATTTTATGTGAGTATTCGGTCTTGTCCATAATAACGATCGAATTTCCCTAGTCAGCCTTAGTAATAATGAGGTGGTCGTTTGTTTTGAGGAAAGAGCGAGTTGAGGATAAATCCTTTAAAAGCAGGAGGAAGAAAGGAGACAAACAGGATGGAGGGTGTTGAAGGTGGTTGGAAATCATGTTACTGATCCGAATGTGGTCTAATTCTATCTCCTCTTCGTTAACTCCGAATCAGTTATCTCTGTATATGCCTTCTATCTAAATCTGTAATTAGACTAGGGATAAGATGGAAGCATTTGGAAGAGGGGTAAGAAAAATTGGGGCCCAAACTTAAAATATTGACTACCTGAGGGGGTATATTGGTGGAGAAAATATTGTTGAGCCATTTTTCACTGCCTTTGGGATAAATTTTATTTTTAAGAGACTGTAGATATATTTTATTAAATTTAGATTGGAGAGACCGCTTTTTAATTGTTTTAATAGAGATCTTGTTACTTAGCTTAATCTGTTTATATTTTAATGTACTTTCTGTTTACAATTTTAATAAGTTTATTCACATTGTTTATAATTTTTTGTCTAAATATTATGTAACTTCCACAATTCTCTATATCTTTTTGTGTCTTGTCCGTCCTAGCCCTGACGAAGACGAAGAATTTTGTTATATTTGGATGATTTGATTTTAAAATTTTCTTACCTAATGAAATATCAGAAAAATAATTATTATGTTTTATAGGTAGACTGTATATATTCTTCTTGAAATATAGAAAAATGCCCTTTTAATTCAGTCTCATTTTATTTTATTGTTCAAGGAGCTTTCGGTGCATTGCACCAGGCCATCCGTGTATGACAGTACATTGGTTAGAATAACATTTAAGAAATTTGTGAGGATAGAAGACAGGAGACCTGCAGATCTTTTTGGCTTGAATATACACTGACAGGCAAAAAATTCCACCCACTTGATTTTTTCATGTTTTCATCTAAAAATATTTCTGCTTTGGATTGGTCTATTGTTTTTAATGAATAAATAGGTAATCTTTTTGTTTCTTTTCAATTAGGAATGTTAATATAGAGGACAATAACCCTTAATCCTTAATTCAATGAAATGATTCTAGATTCCAATGTTTACTTTCTATGGAATCAAAATGTTTATTCAGTATCATTAGTTCAGTGCCGTTTTTTGCAGCAATTTCTTAGTCTCCGACTTTTAATTTTTTCAATATTAAGTTTAAAAATGCCTCTTAGTGCTGAGGATCTTGCGCGTGGTGTGGCACTTATTGATGATAGACGTTCCATTAGATATGCAGCTAGGAAACTGGTTCTTACAATAGAAGGCCTGGTTCTGGACGGCCTAGGGTAACAGAACCACGGGATGACCGGTTTTTGGCTTTGAGAATTTTACGAAACCGGCACCTTACTGTTGTTCAAGCAATTCATCAGCTCGAAGAAGTTCGAGGTGTGCAAATTTCTGAACATACCGCTCGGAGAAGATTAAATGAGTATGGATTAATGGCTTTTCGTCCAGTAAGAGGACCAGAGTTGACCAGAACTCACAGAGTAACATGGCTGGCTTTCGCTTGAGAACACAGCCATTGGACTATGGACGAATGGAGTGCTGTACTTTTTACCGATGAGTCAAGATTCGCTCTTCGATCTCCAGACGGGCGTGAAAGGGTGTGGAGAAGAAGAAACGAAAGATATGCAGCCTGTAATTTTCCCCAGAGCCAACCTTTCCAACATAGTTCCTTAATGGTGTGGGCTGGGATTTCAATGGAGCGCCGCACAGAATTGGTTGTTGTTCGTGGAGGGTCTTTGACTGCCATTCGCTATGTAGATGAGATTTTGGAACCTCATGTGTTGCCTATCCTCAACGAAATCGGCAATCGTTCTATTCTAATGCACGCCGACATGTCGCCCGCATAGTGCAGATGTTCCTTCAACAGAACAATATTGTGGTTTTAACCTGGCCAGCACGTTCTCCAGATTTGAACCCCATTGAGCATTTATGGGATAACCTCGGAAGATGAATAAGAGCGCGTGCAACACTTCCTGATACAATGCAGGGCCTTGAAAGGGCTCTTCGGGAGGAATGGGCTATCCTCCAGCAAAGGGACATTTCCCAATTGGTGGAAAGTATGCTCCCAATTGGAGTATCTTCAAGAAGTAGTGAAGGCAAGAGGAGGAAACATGCGCTACTAAACGATGATGTAATTAATTTATTTTAGAATAATAATGGTTTGTTTTGGAATCTTGGAATCCTGGAAACATTGGAATCTAGAATCATTTCATTGAATTAAGGATTAAGGGTTATTGTCCTCTATATTAACATTCCTAATTGAAAAGAAACAAAAAGATTACCTATTTATTCATTAAAAACAATAGACCAATCCAAAGCAGAAATATTTTTAGATGAAAACATGAAAAAGTCAAGTGGGTGGAATTTTTTGCCAGTCAGTGTATGTTAGAGGACAATGCAATTAACTGAAAATTGAAATGTGGAAACGCTAAAGAGTCTAAGTACTTTCAACAAAACTCTTTAAAATTAAGTTTAAACTTAAATAATATTAATTAAGGGACATATTATAAGTTGATTTAAAAGAAACATTTTTCGTCAACAGATTTTTTTTATTCATTATCCATCATTTAAATACACATAAAGTGATAAAAATCAAAATCAAAGAAGGTCTAGCTAACATTTTTACTACATATTAACACATTACATAAAAGTAATTAGTTGTGATATTTGAATACTTTTATCTATAAATTTAAAGTTATAATCTTAAGCCAGTTTGAACATAAATATTATAAATTAATGAGTCACTAAGTACAAAGAAACAACTCAATGAATAAATCCTCAATTAATAAAAACTTTATATTACTGAAATGTATCATATTTTAAATTTAAAAATAAGTCTGATGTTCATACCTGAAAGCCTTGAATAGACCTATAATAAGGGTCTAACAGCATAGCTGCTAAAGAACATACTTGAGCAGTTCTGTCCCAACCATCACTGCAATGGACAACAACACTAATACCTTGTTCAACTGCTTGAGCAATAAACAAACTTGTGTCTAAAATTGCCTTGATGTGTTTTAACCAACCACTACTTTCCAGACCACTCAAAAAGGAAGACATAGTAGGTGTTTTTAATTCACATGCTATAAAATAAACAGTAGATCTAAAATTAGTGTTAAAGGTATCAAAAATTGCAAATAATTTAGAAATGTTTTTTATATTCAATTCCATCAGCATTTATATACTATTTTTTTTTTAATTTCTTACTAAGCAAAAAAATAGATAAAATGTATAGAAAGAAATTCATGTATGTATTGACATTAAAACTAGATGAAAATAAAAAAAAAAAAAAAAAAAATGCTCTCCTAAGCTTAGAGTAGATTGTTGGCCACAAGTGGGCTCATCCAAGTATGGTCATTAGAAGTCCAATACCTTTTCCACTTGAACATCATTCCAACTTATATAAATTATTATAAAATTTTATAATAAAGATAATAGAGAATACCAAAATGATTAAAAAATAACCAGCAAATCTGTGATTAAATCAGAGTGGGAGTGTCAAGATTTATTTCTCAGGGCTGCCAAGAAATGTATATGTCTAGGGAGAAGTGTCCAGAGACTGTCATTGAAAAAGGAGTCAAACAGGGGGACCCCTTATCCCCATCGTTATTTAACATGGTGCTTGAGAGAATTATGAGGGCAGCTAAAATAAAGGACAAAGGGTGTGTATATAATAATATGACTCAATGTCTAGCATATGCCAACAATATGGTCATAACAGTAAAAATCAAGAGTCACTTTTAGAGACATTTACAAAATCTAATGAGGCAGTTAGGAAAGCAGGGTTGATATTGAACAAAAGACAAACAAAGTATATCATAGCATCCAGTAAAATCTCAGCAAATGGATGTCTATTGAGAGGAGGATATAGTTTTGAAAGCGTGGAGAAATTTAAGCTTCTTGGTACAATTTTAACCTACAATAACAAAATGGAGAAAGAAATAAAAGTAAGAATTGAAAACGAAAAAAGTGTTATTACTCCCTCAGAAATGTATTTCAAAATAAAGAGGCACCCCAAAACCTCAAAATAAAGATATATAACATGGTACTTTGTCCAGTTGTCATGTATGGTAGTAAGGCATAGATCCTAACCAAGCAGCAAGAGAGAGAAAAATTAATCCATGGGAGAGAAAAATTAAGAGAAGAACTAAAAAAAAAAAATTTGAGTTTTCAATATTTACCTTTTTATTCACAAGCATAGAAATACAACATGTGTTAATTATTAAACACTTATTAAAAAGGTAGGTTATACAGAGCCTCCTATATGAATGTCTTATACTATATATCACACTATTCCCTGCTTAATAAGTCTCGTAAGTTAGTCTATTGGGAGGCTTGCTCATTCTTTCCGACCTTCTCCTGTTTGAAACTATTTTAATGTCCTCTTTTCCTTTTACTAATTGTGTTTTGCCTTCTTCCTGTTTCTCTTCGGTTTCTTCAGTGCTTTTATCTTCATTTTCTCGCCTCCCTTCTTTTACTATGTCTTTATGTAAGTCTTTACCATCATCACCTTGTATATACCAAAGGGCATTCTCTAACGTCCTGAATTGTGATTTTACCACCCCTAGTGTGTTCATTTATCATTTGATGTCTCTTGACCTCACAACCTGATTGTCTGATTGTAACAATCACACCCAATACATGTATACTCCCAAAAACTCTTCAATAATACCTTTCACCCAGTTTTTTTTATTACCTGTGCAACTTTCTTTTCCCTGAGTTTTTTATTTTAAGACTGTGAGCCTTTGATATATTTTCCTAGAGCTCTTGAGTATTTTTTACCTATTAGCCAAAAGTACGGTCATTCATTAAATCTAACTTAGTCCTAAGAGGTCTTCCGAACATCCACTTGACAGGAGTTTCACGTCTTGGAAAGCTACTACATTTTCTAGACCAGCAACTACTGTATCCATGACTTTTTGGAAAATTTGAGGTATCGGAGAAGTGCCAAATGGAATTCTATTGTAACAAAAGTTACCTTTATGCGTAACTATTGTGGTACACTGTTTTGAAGAATCTGTCAGTCTTACTTACTGCGCCAATATAATGTTGTTTAGAGCATACATTACATTGGCATATGACCCTACCAAAGAAGAAAGTCATTATTACATAAAAACAAATGCAGAACTAAAGGACTAATATGGGGAACCTAATACAGTTTCCTGCTGTGGCGGCAGATTCTTGCCCGCCAATTGCAACAAGGGACAAATAGTTCACCTGCCCACTACCTGGCAGAGCCACACAAGCTCGCTCGTGCGATGTACCTAAAAGATGTTATGACGAGTGTCCCAGCTATGACATGAAAATTGCGATGGATGACTAAAACGCCCAAATAGGAAAAGAGCCCGTATAAAAGAACACTATCAGTCAATATCGCCTGCATCACAGATCAAATAAAAATGGGAAGCGCCTGATAAATTTTGCGGCTTCCAATAATCTGCTGATCAGAAGCACGTGCTTTCCTCACAAAGAGATCCACCTGGGAACTGACCTCCCAAATTGACCATATGCTCGTGAGCATGAAGCATAGGTCTTCACTCCTTGATGTTAGAAACTACAGGGGTGCTAATGCCGACTCCGACCATTTCATGGTTGTGGCTAAAATCAGAGCCAGAATATCAGTCACCAGAATTAGGCATATAAATAAGGCAAAATGATTTGATGTCTCCAAGCTAAAGGATGCTGAACATTGTGCAGTTTTCCTCACAACTTAGACAGAAATTGGAAGGAATTAACCCTGAAGAAGATTTCGATAAAAAGTGGGATCATTGCCATAAAGCTCTGGCAACAACCGCATTGGAAGTGCTCGGCACTGAAGCAGATTTGAGGCGCCACCGGTGGTTCGATGAGGAGTGTAAAGCCATGAACACCAGGAAGAACGAAACCTACAAAATAATGGTACAGGGACGAAGACCAAGAAGATCTACAGAGTATCGAGCTCTGTGACGTCAGGAAGTCTACCTTTGAAGGAGAAAGAGAAGGCAATTGCAGAATGAAGCAATGGAAGACATAGAAAAAGCCTATCAAGAAAAGAACTACTGAAAATTCTTCCAACAAGTCAATCAGGACAAAGACCATTCAAGCCCAGAGCTATTGCCTGTAAAGCGGAGGATGGATCCCTGATCGCTGACAAGCAAGGGGTTTTGGATAGGTGGGCAAATCATTTTGAAGGTTTTCTCAACAGGGGTAATGCTGAAGAGGACTTCATATGGCTTGCCATGGATGAAGCACAGGAATCAGATCACTTGGATCGACCAGATGAAGAGGAAATTCAAGATGCTCTGATCAAACTTAAGAACAATTAAGTCCCCAGTATTGAAAATATCCCAGCAGAACTGCTGAAGCATGGCGGACACGAACTGGTGCAATTTCTTCGAGACCTACTGCACAATATCTGGATTGAGGAGAGGCTACCTGTGAAATAAAAGAAGACAGTGATTTGCTCGATACACAAGAAAGGAGATACGCTGTCTTGTAATAATTATATGGGAATATCTTTACTCTCTTGTGCTTACAAGATTTTGTCCATTATCTTGTTCAACCGGTTGCTTCCATATGCTGAAAGGGAGATGGGAAGATATCAAAGTGGTTTCCAAAGAGGTAGGTCAACAAGTGATCAAATTTTCAAACTCCGAATGCTGTTGGAGAAGACCCAAGAGAAAATAACATAAGAGACATGTACAAAGGTATAAACAGATCATGTAAATGTTTAGGGCCCGTCACTTCTGGAATTGGGATGAAAATAACAATATTCTGACCGATCTGGTAAACATATTATATAAGTTTAAGAGCCACTTTGACAGTATTTTAAATTTGGAAAATTATGATCTGTGTCTTCCTTCAGAATACCAGAATGCGGAACTGTTAATAGAAGAACCTAGTAAAGAGGAGGTGGAAGTAGCTATCGGAAAATTAAAATCTTATAAAGCAGCAGGAACCGATAATATTCCTTGTGAACTAATTAAGGCATGTGGGAAAGCTAGAGTTTCTAAAATCCATCTGTTGGTTAAAAAAATCTGGGCGAATGAGAAATTATCTGAAGAATGGGAAGAATTTATTCTTATTCCGATTCACAAAAAGGGTTCGAGGACAAATTGTAATAACTATCGAGGAATTTCACTCCTTCTGTGTGTTATAAAATATTCACTTTAATCTTAACAAGTCGAATCACAGAATATGGCGAGGAAATTATCGGTGACTACCAATGTGGTTTTAGATGGAATCGTTCAACTATTGATCAAATATTTTCTTTACAGGAAATATTGGAGAAAAAATTGGAGTACAACGGTGTTGTTCACCAGCTGTATATCAATTTCAAAAAGGTTTACGATTCTATTGACCGCCAGAAACTGTGTTATGTTCTAATTGAGCAGGGGATTCCAAAAAAATAAGTAAATCTAGTCAGGATGCGCTTGACGGAAACACTCAATAAAGTTAGAATCGGGAATAATTTATCTGAAAAGTTTGAGATTCGTGCGGGTTTAAAGCAGGGTGATTCCCTTTCGCCTGTCCTGTTCAATTCGGCATTAGAACATGCCATTAGGGAGATGATGCGTACCGAAAAAGGGTTGGATCTGGGAGGAACAACACCCGTGCTTGGCTATGCGAATGATCTGGTCCTGTTAAGCGAAGACACAGAAACTATAAAACTAAATACGTCAACATTAATGAAAGCCGGTAAAGACCTAAGGCTCTAAATAAACACGGATAAGACAAAATATATGGTTAGGTGCTAAAATGGCGATATCGCTGGTGATATTGATATAGAAGGTAACATGTTTGAACAGGTTGAGAAGTTTAAGTATCTAGGGTCTACGATAACTAGAAAAAACGAAATTGAAGAGGAGATTAAGGTTAGGCTGAAGGCGGGAAATGCTTGTTATTTTTCTGTGACAACAAAACTACACAGCTCGCGCATCTTGTCCGGGAATTTAAAGACTATAATCTATAAAACCATTATCCTACCTACAGTTCTTTATGGCAGCTTACATTAAGAGATGAGCAACGTATTAAGGTTTTTGAAAATAAAGTATTGCGTAGAATATTCAGACCGAAGAAAGATGAGTTAACCAGACAGTTCAGAAGGTTGCACAACGCCGAGTTGAGTGAACTGTATCCAGTTAATATAATTGAGGTGATTACATCGCGGAGAATCAAATGGGCTTGTAAAATAGTTGGGCTTAGTAACAGAAGAATTCCTAAAAGGTTGATATTTGCTGTACCGAATGGTAAATGTCCGAGAGATAGACCGAAGCGAAGGAGGGAAGATTGCGTTAAAGCCGATCTGAAGAGACTGAGTTCGGTGAAGGGAGGTGTAATGACCAGTTGGTGGTGTCTGCATCGAACCTCTAGGTTCGCTAAGCCTTTTATTATTTATTATTTAATAGTGAGATATATTTTTTCAGTAAACTTCATGGGAAAAATTTAGTAACTATAAAAAATAAAAGAGGTAATTTATAAAAAATCAGAATTATGGTTGTACGAATTCTCATTTGGTTGACCATGAAACATGTATTAATGCCAAATAGAAGCATGGCAACAACTGATTCAATATTCTTTTTGTCTATGGATGTTCTGCCCCAGATTCTTCATTATAAAGCCCTCATTGAAAGTGAGATTTAATTAGGCTAATGCATGCATGATTTAATACTACGAACAAAACAAGAATTTCACTTACTTTCAATCAATTTAACAAGGCTGCTTCTCATGACATGAATATTTTCGATTCCTAAAAAATGGAATTTAATATTTTCATAAAAGTTTTCATTTTCATAACCTTTTCCGGTTGCTCGATTAGCCATAGCATTAATCTAAAATAAGGAAATATGCTATATTAAATAAAAATCTTTGAAAACCATTCAATGTAACATTAATTTACTTTTATTTATTTTTCAATATAAAATGTTTCCCATAAGCAGAGGGAAATATTTGTAGGATCGATAGCAGACCTCAAGAGCTATAAAAAAGTTCATATGAACAAAAGGCCAATTTCCAGCAGAAAAGTAGCAAATCCAAGTTTTGTGGTTTTTGAAGTATTGTGTTTTTTGTTGAATCAAAAACAATAACTAAAGAAATATTTAATTTAAGTAATTAATAATTGGTTTATTGTAAACTAAATAAAATTTACTTTAAACAAAAATAGAGTTTATCCTTGTTAAAACCTTTTAAAGATGACCTTTGAGTGGCTAAACAATGATAAAAAAGATAAACAAACCTGTTCAATCCAACAAGCGTGGACAGACCGCATGTGGATAGACCGTGGACATTTTGATTATGTTTGTTTCATTAATCTGTACTTTGTTGCCGTTATTATTATTTATTTCTTAGTTCTCTGTTACTGTTATTATTCTACATACTTTATGTTACTTTAATGTTCACTATATCTACTTCATTTTGCTTTAGGTTTTTTCTACCTGCAATTTTTAGTCTATACCTTTCACGTTTTTTAATTTTAATTCTTTATTATTCAATGTTTATAGTTTCTCCTACCTTTTGTTATCTGGTTCTTTTTATAGCTCTGATGAAGGCCTGAACTTCGGGCCGAAACGTCGGCAAATATAAAAATAAATATAATTATTTATTTTTACTATTTTTAGAGGAAGGATATGGTCCTGGGTGGTGGTCATAATAGACTAAAATAGAGGCAAAACTATTCTATCAAAAGCTAACGTTTCGATCCGACTTTGCAGGTCTCCTTCAGGGCTAAAATGGACTAGATAAAAAAAGATATAGAGAATTGTGGAAGTTACATAATATTTAGATAAAATTATAAACAAGGTGAATAAACTTATTGAAGTTATAAACTGTAAGTACATTGAAATACTAAGAACAATAAGCTATATAAACAGAGTAAGCTAAGTAACAAGATCCTAAACTGAAGTAAATAAATGGTAATAATTGTTGTAGTATAATATATAATATAATATACGCAATTATGAATATACTCCTACAGATCTCTAGGAGAGATTGGAAGAAAAGGAAAAAATAATATGAAATAATGGACATAAAGAAATATGAAGAAAGGACTTACAGGTGTGTTCAGCAAGGAGTTTCACTTAGAACTGGAAAATTTGGGTAGAGTACTCTTGGGGAAATTTGCTGACCTGGTTGGAGAGGGGTGAGGGGTTAACTAGTAAAAGTAAAACAAAACCTGGAATATTACAGTATCTAAAATTTGAAGATATTGATGGATATAAGGAAAAATACTATATCTATGAACTAATAAATTATAAATATATACATATAAAATAGAATTAAGGAATAATAGATAGAAGTACAATGTGAATAAAAACAAAAATAAAAGAAATAAAACGTACATAGAAGTAAAATGTAAATATAAAAATAAGAGACCATACATTGCAGAACTAATTTAGAAGTATAGAGAAGAAAAAAATATATAATTATACTTAGTTGTACATATTGTAAGAAAATTATATTTAAATATAAGATAATATTGGGACATAATGGTTAAAAGTACAATGAATACAAAGTAAAAACGGATGATCGTACATTGTTGTAAAATGTAAATATAAAAAAAAAAAAATAAAAAAATAAACTTGTACTACTACAACCAATGAAGGGTCTTGGGTTCAGTACTACTTAGGTTTCAACTGGTTCAGTAAAACTACTGTTTCAAGGCCAACGGTTGTGCAGGGAAAGGATCGGGCCAGGATCACGCTCAAATGCCAGGTTATCTCCCTCAATTAATTATTTAATTAAGAGTATCCACCATGTAGAGGCTGGGTGTGCCCCAGGAGAGTCTTCCTACCCCAGGGTTACCCCATGGCCAATGAAACAGAATAAATAATTTTTCTGCAATGTGCCGGGATTCGAACCTGGGATCTTGAGCATTGGAAGCTTAGTGCCCTACTGGTGAGCTACACTGCTCCAATTTAAATATTAAATTAAAAATAAAAGAGAGATCATACAAAGCGGAAACACTTAAAAATAATTAACGATTAAATTAAATTAACCAATAAAAATTGAAAATAGATAAAAAATAATAAGATGTAATAAATAAGTTATTTTTCACTAATAAGATTTAAAATGTGCCTATATCTTAAAGAAATACTAGTTTTTATCTACTTATTTAGGAGTTTATATATATATAAAACTACATTTATATATACATATAAATAGTTTCTCTATTTAGGAGTTTTTATCTACTTTATGATTAACAAGATTCTGTTCTATGTGAATGTGGATGGATTCGGAAATGATCTTTTTTCATGGTTAGGGACCGTGGCAAGAATAAAGATTTTATCAAAATCAAATGAATGGTTGAGGGTTAAGGCATGTTCTGATAGTTTGAAGGCGGAAGGGTTCCGGTAAGTTATTGATGTTTTATGTTGGGAAATGCGGGTTTTGAGATGGTTTTTGGTTTCGCCAGTATAGGAGCTATTACAATTAAGAGTAGAGCAAGGTATTCGGTTAACTACATTAGATTGGTATTGTAAAAGTATGGGAACCTTGAAGTTGGTGAAAAGGAAAGAAAGTTTGTTGTGAGACTTAAGGCCCAAGACGTAAGTTGGTTATAGTCAATTTAAGGAATTTTTGTTTATTATCTGAGAGAGTTGTATATTATAGGAGAGAGATTTGTAAATGAAAGGAGTGGTAGGTGATTGTGGAGAGTTGAGAGAAGGGAGGTTGTACTCTTTTTGGTTGTATAGTAGTTTAAAAGTTTAAGTATAGTGTTGAGAGGGAAATTATTGGAAAGAAGTATATTTTTGACACGCTGAGTGTTGGCTTGGTGATATTGTGGATCAGATAAAGAGAGAGATCGGTGAATAAGGTTTTTGGCGGTATTGATTTTTTTATGGTATGGGTGTTGAGAATAAAAGTTAAGTAGTCTGCCTGAGTATACCAGTCAGTAGAAATATAGCCGTCAGTGTTTTTGATTATTAGGAGATCTAAGAAGGTGAGTGAATTATTAACTTCTTTCTCTACAGAGAAAAGAAGATGGGGGTGGTAAGAGTTGAATGAGGAAAGGATTTGAGGAATGCTGTCAGGGTTAAGAACAAGAAGGAGGTCATCGACATATTGTTTAATGAAAATGTCTTGATGGAAAGAAGGGATAATGGAGTCTAGAAGGTCATTAAGAACAATATTGGAAATATCCCTTGTAAAAGAATTCCCCATGGTTAGGCATGAAATCTCAAGAATTTTCCTTGGAAAGTGAGGTATCCGGATCTGCAAGAAAGCTCAAGGGATTTAAGGTATGAGGAGAGGTTGAGGGTAGTGTGAGGTTTGATGATTGTATAATTTGGAGGGATTGTATATTGTGATGTTCGTAAGATAAATAAGCTTTCGGCATCTAGGGAAAGATGGATGAAATTGTCAGGAATATGGAGAGAAGAGAACTCTTCTTTGAGGTGAAATGAATTATTATTATTATTATTATGAATTATTATCATGTCATAAGGATTATTGTTACTAAGTTTTTGGAGAGAGGGTAAAAGGAATTCGCTGAGTTTAGCTGAGGGGCGTTTATATTGGAGATGATAGGGTGAAGTGGATTACCAAAAGCGTAGTCACAATAATCCTTATGGCATTAATAATTTTGTTTTACTTTTAATGCTTACCCTCTTGCTACTCCCCAACCAGGTCAGCAAATTTCCACAAGGGTACTCTACTCAAATTTTCCAGTTTAAGTGAAACTCCTTGCTGAACACACCTGTAAGTCTCTATTTTTATTCTTTTAATTTTATTTATTTTATTTTATTTACTTATGCATTTATTTTTTGTTTTTCTTTTCTTTCATCACGTCTCTTTATATCCATTATTTCACTTTTTTTTTTCCTTTTCTTCCAATCTCTCCTGGAGATCTGTAGGAGTGTATTCATTATTACACATATTATATTATATATTATACTACAACAATTGTTACCATCTATTTACTTCAGTTTAGGATCTTGTTACTTAGTGTAGTATATTAACCTTTTGTTAAAGGGTTATGATTAATCTTTTTGGTAATGAGTCATGCTTTTTTAATTATTAAGAACACAAATGTAATCAAGAACAATAAATGGAAATTGTCTGTGTTTGATTTACAGTGAAATCATTGATACATTACATTGGCAACGAGGATTAATCCTGAAAGGAATTGAACACTATTTACTATTATATCACCTTCTGAAAAATCGTCATTAAAGCCCACAGAGACAGTTATGTTGCCGATAATAGGGGTACTCAGAGAATTTTCCATGAATATGGACTGGACTCTATATAAGCCATGGATGGAAAGCTTTTTCGATGCAAATAGAACCCAAAACGAAACATAAAGGCACAATTTATTTCATAATTCATTAGATGATGAAGCTTTTAAGCTTATAACGACATTAAGAATTCCAAAGGAACCAATTGGTTTAACCTTTTCAGAATTTTTAAAATTATTTAATGAATATTTTGTCCCATCTGAATCACTTTTTGGAGCCCAGCACAGATTCTACAATGCAGCTATGGAAGATATTGAATCAATAAATAAATGGATAGCCTGCATTCAGGACCTGGCTTCCCATTGTGCTTTCAATAATTATCTTTTATTATGTTAGATAAATTTGTTATAGGTATGAATAAAGGACCGATAAGAGATTGGCTGTTCGAAGAAGAATCCCGTGAATATTTCACTGCTATAGAAATAGCTACTGCAAAGCAGGCTACATTTAGGCAGTATAATTTAGATATAGCAGTTAAAAAGGAACCTGTGCACTTTGTTAGTAGAGAAACAGATAGAACATCAGCCTCTAGGGGGCAAACTAATGAAAGATATCCAAACAAATGTATCATTTGTGGTAAAGTGGGTCATGACCCTGGCAAATGCCGTTTTAGGGAATATACCTGCAATAATTGTCAGAAAATAGGCCATCTAGCTCTGGTGTGTAAGTTGGATAGAAGGCAACCGAACAACCAAGGATTGAAAGAAAGATCACACTATATAGAGGAGGATGTATCTTCTGATCTCGAATGCCTATATAAAATTGACAATTCTCCTAAGGAATCGGGATATCAGGTGAACCTAAAAATCAATCAGGTTGATATAGTATTTCAGGTAGATACTGGTTGTTCAAGTGCTATATTGCCTCTTTAACTTTTTAAGAAGAAAATGTCTGGCTTAAAGTTGGGAACTCAAAGAAGACTTTTGTCTCATATTTTCAGGAAAGGTGGGCACCTCTTGGCAGTTTAAACGTGAATGTGGACTATAACGGCTGCTAACACTCAAGTCTGGAATTGCATGTGATGGAATCGGATCGTCCGCCATGGTTCTTGTTCTTGGACAAACATGGTTTGAGGAACTTTGAAATTTAAAATTATGAATAGCTATGAGGCAAAACCTTTATTTTTTAGTAATGAGGAATCAACTTTTTGGGATGAAGCCATGCATTGTTAACCAGAGGTGTTTTCTGATCGGCTTGGAGCTTTTACAGGTGGTACGATAACATTAGAACTAAAATCGGATGTCAAACCTAAGTTCATAAAAGGAAGGCCTGTGCCTTTTGCCATGAGGGCTAAAGTAGATGCTTAATTGGAAAAATTAGTACAGGAAGGTATTCTGATACCTATTAACTATAGTTTATGGGGTTCACCAATTCTTCTAGTACTGAAGAAAGGAGGAACAGTGAGGATCTGTGTTGATTATAAACTTACTCTAAACCCATGCCTTGAAATCGATCAGCATCCTCTCCCACGAGTAGAGGACTTATCCCATAATATTCAAGGGTTAAGCTTTTTGCAAAAATAGATTTGTGTCACATGCATATCAACAAGTGGTCTTAGATGAAGAGAGTAGGTCACTACTCACTATTACAACACAAAAAGGGCTATTTACTTATACACGCTTTCCCTTCGGAGTGGCACCTGCTCCAAGTAAAGCTCAAAAAAATTATGGATGCATTATTCGATGGACTTGATGGAACTGCTGTATTGCTGGATGATATATTAATTGGTGCAGAAAACTTAGATGAATTAAAAATCTGCATGTTTTGAGTGTTAGATAGGCTTAATGGTGCTGGTCATACCGTTTCACCTAAAAAATGTGAGTTTGGGAAAAAATCATTGGAGTATTTGGGGGTTAGGATAGATGCATCCTGCCTGCATTCCGCGGATGAAAAGGTTGATGCCGTTCTGTGTGCTGCAAGACCCCAAAATGTTAAGGAATTACAAAGCTTCATTTGTGTTGTTCCTGGCAAAATTTATACCGAGATTATCATCAATACTAAATCCTTTGTAAAGTTTTCTGAAGAAAGGAACTCCTTGGAACTGGACTTCTACATGTGATAAGGCATTTGATAGGGTAAAAACAGTGGTTCAAGAAAATCTTTCACTAGCTCATTATGACCCTTCAATTCCTATTAGACTTGCTGTGGATGGTTTAGACTGGTCTGGGAGCAGTGATTTTCAACGATCTGAAGGAGTAGACAAGCCACTAGCTTGTGGGAGTAGATCCCTGTCCACTGCAGAAAGAGCTTACTCTCAATTAAATAAAGAAGCAGCAGCTTTGATTTTTGGAGAGAAAAAATTCTACATCTATTTATATGGAAGGGAATTTATTTTGGTAAATGATAATAAACCTCTACTAGCAATATTTGGACCCAGACAAGGAATACCAATGTGAGAAGCAAACAGATTGCAAAGGTGGGTATTGATAATGGCCAACTATACTTACAAGACTGAGTGGGTAAGATTCCAGGGAAATGTTGCTGAATGGTTGTCATGGGCCCCTGTACCTGATTGTCCGAGGGGATCCTGAGAAGCTGATTTATGTATTAATCATATATTATATAGTAATGAAGATTTTCCTTTAGACTTAAAAAAGATATTGGCAGCAACTAGGAAAGATCCGATTTTGATGAAAGTTATATTGTACACAAAAGTGAACTGGCCAACAGAAGTGGACCCCGGAGCTCCAACCTTTTTCATCAAGTAGGGAAGAATTATTTGTGAAGAAGGATATTCTTTTATGGGGTTACAGAGTAGTAGTTCCTGAACTTTTAAGGCAACAAGTCTTGGAGGAGTTACATGTTTCACATTTGGGAATCGTGAAATTAAAATCATTAGCCCGTTCATACATATGGTGGTCAGAAATGGACAAGGCTATTGAAAAAATAGTACAAATATACCAAGCCTGTTATATTACAAAAGATAATCCAGTGAAGATGCCATTAGTGCCTTGACAATGGCCATCCAAGCCCTGGGAGAGGTTGCACATTGATTATTTAGGTCCGTTTATTCGTAAATATTTTTTAATTGTAATCGATAGCCATTCAAAATGACTTGAGATTTTTCCAACTTTTTCTACGTCAACCTCTACCACAGTTAAAATTTTGCATCAACTATTTGCAAGATTTGGTTTGCCAAAAGAATTGCTTTATGATAATTTCCTGGCATTTGATTCCAAAATATTTTTAAAAAATTTGTTTCACAATGGAGTGACATTGAAGCATGGACCACCCTATTCACCAAAAAACCAAAAGTGTGCTCTGAAAAGTGTTCTGATTTAAACATTTTACTAAACAGTTTTCTGCTTGACTATCGCAACTGCCCACATATTACTACGGCAATATCTCCAGCTCAAGCTTTGTTTGGAAGATCATTACGAAACCTCCTTCAACAAAGATTGAAGTGAAACAGCAACAAGAGAAACAAATAAAACATATGATGGAAGGTCCAACACAAAGAACTGGTCTGCAGAGGGAGATAGAGTATGGGTAATTAATCACAACCGGAAGGAAGATAAGTGGGTACAAACTACAGTGGTAATAAATGGAAATTGTCTGTGTTTGATTAACAGTGAAGTCATTGATACATTACACTTAGCTAACTCTGTTTATATAGCTTATTGTTCTAAGTATTTCAATGCACTTACTGTTTATAATTTCAATAAGTTTATTCACCTTGTTTATAATTTTTATCTAAATATTATCTAACATCCACAATTCTCTATATCTTTTAGTGTCTTGTCCAATCTAGCCCTGAAGAAGACATGCAAAGTTGGGTCGAAATGTTGCCTTTTAATAAAATAGTTTTGCCACTATTTTAGTCTATTTATTACCACCATCCCGGACCATCCCCTTCCTCTAAAAATTGTAACAATAAATAATTATATCAATTTTTATATTTGCCGACGTTTCGGCCCGGAATTTAGGCCTTCATCAGAGCTATGAAAAGAACCAGATAACAATAGGTATGAGAAACTATAAACATGGAATGATAAAGAATTAAAATTAAAAAAGGTGAAAGCTATAGACTAAAAAATGCAGTTAGAAAAAATCTAAAGCAAAATGAAGTAGATATAGGGATCATTAAAGTAAAATAAAGTAGGTAGAATAATAACAGAGAACTAAGAAATAAATAATAATAACAGCAACAAAGTATGGACTAATGAAACAAACATAATCAAAATGTCCATGGTCTATCCACAAGCGGTCTGTCCATGCTTGTTGGATTGAACAGGTTTGTTTATCTTTTTTATCATTGTTTAGCCACTCAAAAGTCATCTTTAAAAGTTTTTAACAATGATAAACTCCATGTTTGTTTAAAGTAAATTTTATTTAGTTTACAATAAACTAATTATCATTTATTTAAATTAAATATTTCTTTAGTTATTGTTTTCGATTAAAAAAAAAACACAACTCACTTAAAAAACCACAAAACTTGGATTTGCTACTTTTCTGCTGGAAATTCTGCTGTTTATATAAACTTTTTTGTAGCTCTTGAGGTCTGCTATCACTCCTATAAAAATTTCCTTCTACTTACAGGACACCCTGTATATTAACAAAATATATATTTTTTTTTACCATTATTCAACTTACTCTTGGTCTGGTATCAACTACAAACATATAATTGTAATTAGAGTTCGTATTTAAAATACAATCTAACATCTGCTCATCTTCTAAGCAGCGAGCATTAAATCCAGATAATGGTTGGCTACAACGACAAATAGCAGCCTGAAACAAAAACAAAAAAAACAATTTAAACTACTGATAAAAAAATAATAATAATACATTTTTATTGCACAAAAATACAAAACTTTATAGCAAGGAGTTGACTAAAATGACTATTTAAAGTTCCTAACATTTTAAACTTCTTTTGAAGAAACATCTCCGTTGATAAAAAAACGAAAATATACATATGTACATTTACATTTTCAGCACTAATACAATACAATGAAATATAATGAATATATATGCTAATACAATAATAACACAGTGAAACGAAACAATACAATGATGCAAAACTAATAGTACAATGAAACAAAACTTTCCCCATTTTGAAACTTCCATTCTCTTCAGTCATTTCTTCTCAGCATGACAATAAGTTTCTTTATTTAAGACAACAGGAATAGTGATATAGTTTATTGAATTTTTTCATGTTTTCTACTCTTAAATTGGATTTCACATAATTTATAGATAACTCAATATCTTTATTCAACCAATATTTCTGGGCTTTCACAATAATTCCATTCAAATCTTCCTTTGATAGGATGAACTGGTTATCCACTCACTTTTCACAGCCCAATACATCTAGAGTATTTTGTAACTCTGATACCCAGTTGAAAGGTACCTTGTAGAACTTGGAAGTCTTAATGAGGATGAGGTAACACTTTTTGCAAAAGTAATTTTCTGGCATTCCTAAGATTCGTAGCCACCAACATAGCAAACTATTGATAAATAACAACAAACTGTTTATGTTTATAAGGAAAATAAATACCTTTATTAGTCAAGAATAAGTCTAGTACAGTTAAGTATTCAAGACTAATAATTGCTGAATTGACCATAATTCAAAATATTTAAACCTAATAAATAAGTTTTAGAATATTATATATACAGTAAAGTTTCTCCATAGCAAACAGAAATTTTGTTAATTATTATAAAATAAATAATTAAGGAAAAAATTATACTAAAATAAAAATTAACAGATTAAAATTTTATTTCAAGAATCATGTTAATGATACTATTTATTCATTTAAATAGTATTTTTACTTTCACTTATCTATATATGTAATATGTAGTAAGGGAAAGTTTTGCAATCGTGAACATTTTCGAATCTGAGTTTTTAACGGAAACATATATTTTGAGGTCCCCTGATTCCAATCAACCAAGTCCCGCAAAATGTTGTGTGTGTGTTTGTATATGCCTGGTATGTTACAGCAACTTTTTCGAGAAAATCGGGTAACCAGAAGTGCCACTTTATATTATCGATTTTAAACATTTTTATAATTTTCTTGAAAATGGCTTTAACGATTTTGATTAAATACACTATATCAGTTTAAAATTATGCGTTTTTTAAAATAATGTAGGTCATATTCTCATTGATGTTCTCTAACAGGGTTTAAATGCCTAATTTTCAAAGTTTCTTTCTATAAACTAAAGTGCCTTTAATTTTTTATATGAAAAATAATCAATCATTTCACATTAACAACTGATATAAAAACTGATTAAATATAATGAATGATAAATATTGATTGGTAATTCAAGAAGAAATAAGGGTTGGAAGCTATACAGAAACAGCCGAGAGCTGACCTTTGCCGATATCTCTATCCTCTCCTTTTATAGATACCTGATGCCCCTCTATACAGGGCTTTCATATTGTTAGTTATTTTTTATATACCACTTATCCATAATTTTTTCAATTTTGAGGATCTACTAATATAAACCTAATAATATACAATATTTAATAATTTACTAAAATTAAGTTATTTTCCAATGAGTTACGTGATAAATGTTTCCGATAAAATTAAATTTTTTTCCAAAAATCCATTTTTCCCCACAATCATTAGTTTTGATTGATAATATAAACAGTCATAAAAGGAAATGGAAAGTGGTGCAAACGTATAAATCTAACAGATTTGATGGGCAGGAAAAACATGGTAATGAATTGTTTTAAATAAAGTTATAACATCGTTTTCACTTTGGACTTCCCTGTATATTAAAATACCTATCTAGTCTAATGTGGGTAAGTGAAAGTTGTGTGCTGCAGGCACCGCACCAGAATTTTCTTTTTAAATATATTTTTTATAATATGTACACAAATGAGCAATGATAAATTTCCTATCAAAATTGGACATCTTCATTTTCAATTTTGTTAGTAAACTGACAGCAAAAACTAATTTGTCCTCCATTTGTAATTGGGGTGAACTATCTTTCCATTTAATATTCGGTAAAGAAAAAATTTTGGTAGAAGAGGAGCTAGTATTATGTACAGCTTTGAGAAACTACAAGACCTTATCAAAATATCAGTTTCAAAAGAAGTGGAGATGTCCATATTTGGCTCCTTAAAGGTACTCACGTAAAACATTAACTTATAGATAAAAAATAAAATTAAAAGTTCAAAATACTTATAATATTATAAGCAAGTCAATAAATATGCCAACTAGAGTGTGGTAGTTGTAGAGATATCTTCCTACACTTTAAACATTTTCGTAAATATTCTTTTTCAGAACCTGAGACCTATGCTAAATGAGAGATTGTTCCTTATCAGTCCGGTTTTTGAGAAGAAAAATCCCCATCCAATCGAATATTCTTTCTGGAACAAATTCTAGCAAAATACAGGGAATATAAGTGCAGTTAAATCATCTGCCTCTGGAATTCAAAGCAACTTATGATAGTCTCAATAGACCAGTGCCATACAAGGCTATAAAAGAACTAAATATCCCAAGAAAGCTCATCCACCTCACACCAATGACAATGACAAATGTCGACTATTTGGTTTGTATCCAAGGAGGATTCTCAGAAACCTTTGTTCCCAAAAGAAGGGTCTGGCAGGGTGATGCTGTAGCATACCTTATCTTTGAAAAGGTTGTAAGGGAATCCGGAGTAGAGACTACTATCTTCAACCAGACTGTCCAGATCCTTGACCTATGTTGATAATATCGATATCATGAGAAGATCCTTTAAGTTGATGAAGGATGCATTTATGGCCCTAGAGGTCTCGGAAAGAAAATTAGGTTTGAAAATAAATGAAAAAATGAACAAATTCATGGTACCGGGTTTGATAAAAAAGATCACTATATGGCTTTAAGGCATGGACTATCTCAAAAGATGGACAAACAAAGACTCCTGGCTTTAGAGCTGTGTAAGGAGCTAGACATTATGGGAGTCATTTGTGTAGGTAGGCTAAGATGGACTAAACATGTTACTAGGATGACTGAAAGGGACATTACTAAAAAGATTATGTTAGATCAGCTTTATGGGATGAGAGGCACCAGAAGACTGAAGCTGAGTTGAAGAGACCTCTACTTCCTAAATGAGACTATAAAAAATTTATGAAATTTTGGTGGAGAATCTACGAATTTTGTTTTTCCTTTGTTTTTTTTTGTTTGTTTTGTCTCACCGTTTTACCCCTTTTTAAATGTGAAGAAAATGTTTATTTTTTTTTTAAGCGAAGATATAATTGTTCCAGAAATGTATTTAAGTTGATAGTATTTAAATATTAAACATTGTCTTGTTTCGCGATGTATTATCGAGTTTGTGTATACGCACCAGCCCAGCCCAGCAGTAATACTGAGTTTAGATATTAAGACACCAAAATATTGTGATAAGACAGGAAGTCAGTCTGGAGCGAGCTTTCGTTGATATTGGGTCCACGTATTGGACATCTACCCTCACCTTCCCACCAGACACTCCAGTTAACTCAACCCCACCGGCCTAGTAGAGTGCCTTTTTATTTCATTGGAAGTCAGGAGAGAGCTTTCATAGATGCAGGATCTATGTATTAGTTCATCAGACCCGCTCTCCCCCCACCCCGCCAGCCGCTTCTGTCTCACCTCACCTTGTTTTTGAGAGTCATAGCTGTTTGTGACAGTAGTCATCGATATCGATAGGCCTATCGTATCAATACCACCTCACCATCGACGGATGATCATCAGATTGAGGTAACCTCGTTGGGAATACTTCCCACAAGTATGTTTTTTTCATCTATCACCGTTACAAAAGACATTAAACATTCATTTTTCTCTGTAATTTCAGAAATTGATTTTATTTATATTTTATTCCTAATGGTTAATTCGTTTTTATTTTCACAGAATATTGTATTTATGTTTGGTTTTATTTCAATGCATTTTAATACTCTTCTTTTATTTTATTTTTCAAATTTTGTATGTATATATCTTTTTTTTTTATTTCAATTATAAATTTTGTAAACATTCAGAAGGCGATTTTTTTTATTTTTCCATCTTTAAATAATCAAGTCATTTTATTTGGTATTGTTTTGTGCATGTGTTTTTTTTAAATGTTTACAGGTCTCATTTTTATTCGTATTTTCCCCACCTTTGAGAAAGCTCACCAGGGAAAGATTTGTGTTTCATTTTCAGATATATATCCCTGGCCACAACACTAATAATATTTTATTCTTTTTTTGTTGCATTATTATTGTTTTCCAAAATAGCTTGAAGGAATATAACCAATGCCACTCCTTTAGAGTTTTCCATCCCATATATCGCTTTTTCAGAGATATTGTAACATGTTTTAAATTTATCAAGCCATCTAGTTGAAGCCCTTAAATGATTTTGTTCCAAAATCTGTCTAACATCTAAAGAATTTACTTTTATCAGAGGGCAAGATAGAGGAATTTTACTTCATGGCAAGGGCTGAAGTTTTAGGGCATTGTTGTTTTCTTTAAAATGTCCATACAAGGGTTTTCCAATTTTGTATTGAGCAGATGTTAAGCTAAGCTAATACTAAGTTTTTAACATGCACCCAAGTTAATCTCACATTTTACTTTTAAATTAAACAAACACAAGTTGAAATATTGCTGATCAATTTTGTAGAACTAAGAACAAAAGATTAAAACTATAACCGGTATTTCCGGTGTGCACAACTGTTGTAGATATTTTATTTATTTAAACATAAGTAATAAAAATATCAGTAGAGACTAAATTAATAAACTAGAGAGATTAAGTTTTGCTACCATTAACGTATATAACTAGAAAAACCTGCCCACAAAAGCGAAAATACGACACTACAACATAGTCGTTAAACCAGTAATACTATACGGGACGGAAACTACATGCCTCCCCAGTCTGTAAAAACTACTGAGAATAGAACAAAGAATCTTATGAAGGATCTACGGCCCGGTCCCAAAAAGACACAAGAAGGATACAGGCTAAGACCCAACCAAGAAATCTACACAGACACAAAGAACCTAGAAACAGAAATAAGGATAAGGAGACTGAAACGTAACGGACATATGGTAAGAATGGCTTCGGAAAGACTAAACAAGGAAATATTCCAGAAAATCCAAGGATGCAAAAGCTCAGCAGATGAAAAAAGAAATGGAAAGACTAGGAATAATGGACCAGAACTGTCTGGACAGAGAAAGACATAGGAAAATACTGAAGAAATCAAGGTTCTTGTGGAAAAGAAAAATTCGAAAAAGGGAGTCGCGTGGACAGAAAAAGAAAACAAAAGCACGCAGAGATAGTGAGGGGAAAATGGCAGGAAAGGAAAAAACAAGAAAAGGACCAAAAGTAATGATACCAGCGTGGTCCTCCCAGTGGTAAGGATGTTCCGTGAAAAAAAACTTACTTTTATATAAATCAGGGGAGGGGGTCTCCAAACTAAGGCCCACGGGCCGGATATGGCACCACAAGCATTTTCAATCCAGCCTGCGAACATTTCTTTGATTATATTGTAAAATATTTAAATATATTAAATTCAGCAAATTGTTCACACACAAAGTTACTATAATATCTATTACATAGTTTTTTTCTGATACATTTCTAGAAAGTTTATTTCACAGCTGAAGTGTCATTTATAGAACAAGATTCTTTTTTTCATCACAAGTCATGACCCGCTAGCCTTTGGTGGAAGTCTCAATACAGCCCGCAGAACTTAGTCGAGGTCTCAATGTGGCCTGCAGGCCAAAAAGTTTTAAGACCTCTGATCTAAATTATTATTAATACACTTAATTTATCTTTAATTTAGTTGTATCATTAATCTTTTAGTTATTGATTTCTGTCTTTGTATACCCTATACACGCATCATCTCTAGCATCTTTCATTTAATTACAGCCCTGAAAAAGCACATGTTTGTATCGATATGTCAGCTTTTACAATAAAACAGTAATAACCGAGTCCTGTTTATTAATTCCATGACATACATTACAGGGCATAAACTACCTTTAACGTATAAACATACATTTTTTGCCCCATTTAATATTTTGCCTGTAATAAAACTATCTTTCCATCTCTTACGCTACCCTCTCCTACTCCTCTCTCTTACTAACTGATCTCTCACCCCCATTCTCTATTCCTCTTAATCTAAAACAATGAGATTTATTATTTTATTTTTAATGATTAATACAGAAAATTTTAAAACTTACTTTGTTTTTGTGAAGATAGCTCAGCACAGGTAAACGCCCTTTGCTCCTAAACTTTGAACTTCCAGCAAGAATTGATGGAGTAGCTTTTACTGGGACATAAATATATGCTGGATATGTATCACATAACTAAAACAACATTTAATTCAATAATGAGAAAAATACATCAATATTCGATATTTTTTTTTAAAATATTTGCATAATATAATAATCTTATAGTTTTTCAAAGATTTAAGATAATTAGAAGGGCAGAACTAAATACAGATTACCAGTTGCTAGTGGCAGACACTAAAGCATGTAAAAGCAAACCTAACGTGTATGACATACTTCAGGGTATCTTATGGCAGGAAGTCAAGAATTAATTCTCCTCTGTTCATTCCCGCAATACTCGTTCCCGGTCTTCTGGTTTATACATAAGGGCCCACCGAACCGCTGCTTTCGACAAATCGTTCATTATCCGATCCTCATCTCTATGGAACTCCACCCCTTCCCATATCCGTCAATCTAATACCCTTCCTATCTTTAAATCCCGCCTGTTCAATCATTTCTTATCTATCCAGTCCCCATAAAATCGTAAATAGATACTACTGAAAATATGTACATAAATTATTAGTTCGTTCTTCATTATTTGTACTCCAATTTTTGTTTATCTATTTTTTTTCTTTTTTTTTTCTTTTATTATCAACTGATCAAAATTGGAAAGCAACTTATATGTATATGTATATATATATATATATATATATATATATATATATATATTTCTCTGAGGCTCCTTAGCCCTCATTTCTGTCTTCCTGTATTATTCTAAAGGGACTCGTCCCAGAATAAATAAAGTATTATTATTATTATTATTAATTAAGAATTAATAGTATTCTGCAAGTTACAACTGAAATCAATGTAAAGAGAAATTAGTTCCATTACCAAGAGGACGAAATAGGGGAATAGTGGAAGTAACGTGGTGGAACAACCACAGGATATAAAAAATTGCATCAGAGAGGATGAAATAGAGAAGGCAGTTGATAGCATCAAACTGAACAAGGCTGGTGGTCGAGATGTCATAACTACAGAGCTTATTAAATTCAAAGGAGAAAACTGAAAAAGATACTCCAAAATGGGAGCAAAATATTACTATCTACGACCAAAAGAAGGGAAGTCAAACCACTATGAAAACTTTAGACTTACTTGTCTATTCCTCAGGTTGTATACTGAGTGGAACTATACTATAACATCTATGTACAAAACTATCTCAAAAAGGTTCTATATAGTTTCTGATATAGTAACAAGAACAACCTTCTTTCTGTCGTTGCATAAAAAAAAAAAAAAAGACCTTTTGTTATCCTTAAGAATAGAGGTAGAGAAAGTATAGAATAGAGGGCGGAGCATATATTTAGCTTTTCTTGACCTAAGAGCTGTGTTTGACAAAAAATTACTTGTAGAGACAAGGATGCTTCCCCTGCTTCCGAACCATATCCCTTTAACTCAGAATTCTCTCTCGCCAAAGTCATCTCTATACTTTTCTTTCAGGTACGGTATGTATTTCGTATAAATTTCCTCTTTCTCCTCTTGTACTTTAAAGTCCTGATCCTGGTAATTGGTCTCAAATTTGATCGTGGAATCCACTATTAGTGCCTCCTTTTCTTTAGCATTGAACGCCAAAATGTCAACAAATCTTGTTGAGCCTTCTATATCCAGGCAATAAACCTCGAGAAAACATTTATAGTTCTTCATTTGAAGGAACTCGGTTATATGATGCTTAATATTATTGTGCCGGCGGATGATGAGGAGCATGTTAAGCGGACAATGTCCCAAAACATGAGCTGGGGTTTCTGACTCTCGACCACATTTGCGGAAGAGGTGTCCAAATAAATAAATATCAGGATAATTTTTTCTGAACGGTATAAGAACATCACCCCTTAGGCCATGTCAACAATGGCGCCCAAGCCTATCACCGACCGTAGCGAAAAAATAAAGAAAAAAAAGACGTAAAAAGGAAGTTACAAACACTAACTAAAATTTCTCTGAAAGTAAACAAAGTTTTAAAATCTAATAAAACACCTTATAGTTCTGGTTCAAGAGAGTTAAACGCCATTGATCATTAGGTACTCTCATTCTCTGATATTCTGCTTGTAAATCAAAAAAGCTCCACCCAGCATTTTTGGGAATATCTTCACAACTTGAAGTGTAACGAAAACAATATAAATCCTCAAAACTACCTGAAAAAGTACAGAACTAATTCAGTTAATTTAATGATTATTTTTCAATATCTTAATAATATAACATATAACAAAATAAAATCTTAATATATAAAACATTAATACCATAAAGACTTAATTGAAAATATTATTCTTTATTCTCTGGATGTATTTCCACCATTTTGGCTTTATTGTTTTATTGTTATCTACTAGATGGTACCAAAGTTAGAAAAACATGATAAGGAATCTCTTATCATTAGAAATAACAGTTATAAACAGGTTTGTACCAGTTGCTAGATAGGGTTTGACCTTAATACATCTCAAAATGAGATTTGTCTGCAGGATATTACTTCAATATTATTTGGGAAATTGACACTGTTTACAGAAAACAGCATACATGACTTTATGGTACATTATTTAATTTAATAAAATTTGTATTTTATTGTTATCCTGAATTACTCTAATATATTATTGATGAAAACCCCTTATTATCACAAACTTAGTTATTCCAATCTGATTGATAATAATAATAATTTCTTAGCCCCATCAAAAACGATTAATTTCCTGGCATAATTTTGAAGAAATCTATAGTTAACATGAATCTTACACAATTTTAGGCAATGGTAAGGTGAACATGAACTTATTCTAGAAACCAGTATTTAGCAAAAAATTTTTGTTCAATCCTCCGACATCTCTTTTTCTTTCTTTGAATTCAGAGGAAATTATATTCTTAAAATGAAACATCCATTTCAGTAAAAAAAAAAAGTTCTATTATTATTTTTCTTTTACATTGTAATAATAAGAAGTAGAAGTTAAAATATGTTTTGACTCCAACCATGGCTCCAAAAATAAAAAATCAGCAGTCGATCTATTTATCTAAAAGCCAAATAAGAAATTTAAAAAGAAGCTAATAGTGATATTGACTGAAATATTTATCTGAAAATTTTAATATTTTAAAATCATGATCATGCACTGTTAACAAGGACCTAAGGTAATAAGTATTTTTAATGTTTTTTTTTTTAATTCTAATTTTGGTTTACCTCTACAGGAGGATCATTCCTTTTCAATCAAGAAAATATTTTCACTAAAAATATTAAGAAAAAAATTTGGAGAATTTATTTTAAATTTGTTTAATTACTTTTAAATAATGAACCTTTGTAATTAAGCAAGAAATGACGTTTTAACTTTTTTTTTAAATTTTGCACCAACAGGTAACACCAGGATGATCCTCCGAATTTTAAATCACAATTCCCCATTTAGTTTCAAAATGGCAGCTGATTATAGTTTGAATGTAACACCATCTACTTCTTTCTCCTTTCGATTTTCTTCTAGATTATCAGACCCTTTATATTTAGATTTGACATCAGTCACTTGGAGATTCTTGGAACTCAACTATACCATCCCCGTATTAGAGGTTTTATAGGATCATAAAAAGGACAGAGAGACCTATCAAGAGAAAAAAGGTGGAGAGAAGGAATATGGCTTATATGACTATGATGCCAAGAAGGAACTCAAGTAGATCTATGATAAATATAGAAAAGGGGAAAGGAAAAGATGAAAAAAGAAGAGGAAAAAAGAGATTGGGAAAATATATTGCTATAGAAGATGGAACAAGGGATCAATGTGTAGCCTAGGCCTTTCAAGCTTCACAATCAAGGCTGTATAAGAGAAGACAGAAGCTTAAAAACTAACCAGAGGCCCAAGGTCAGATGTGCAAATTCTTTTAGCAGTCTTTAATTTAAACAAAGGGTCTTTATGGCAGGGGTAATTGGTATGACTAGACTATCTTCTGGTAATGAAATTTTCCCATGGTATATTTACACTGTATTATAAAATCATGCAGTATAATACAGAACCTAGTATTCGTAAGTGCCACTTAATGGTAAATCATCATCTTACAACTTAAATTGTAATTTTATAATGTAATCAAAATAATCTTGAGATTAGAGGTGCTTATGGGTGAGATTTGGCACTCAGGTTGTAGTTAGGAGACTCCTCATGTGATTAAACTGTTTTTGGAGGAAATTCTTTTACTTAGTAGTAATCTAGTACCATAACTTAATTAGAGACACACTGCACATGCACGGGAGCACACACGCATGCACATAAATAAAATAATAAGAAAAAATAAATAATAATTAAAACAACGCTATTTACACTCACTAGGCTGTGACAGTTTTAATAATGTACTGTAAACTTCATGACAGTCTCTTTCTCGTGGAATAATAAATGTGATTGATAGGAATGTTTTACAGCGAATCAGCAATGGGCATCCTTCAGCAGTAAGAGATAGCTTCTCAATAGTAGAAATATGCATGTAGAGAATCTAAAAAACAATAAAATGCTTCTACTATTTCAACTAATAAAATAAACAATCATTATTATTATGGTTAAGAGAACATACATAAAACTTCAAAATTTTTATTAATCATCAAAAAATACAACTGATTTTAAAAATGACTATCCTTAAAATATAATGAAATCAAAATGCAGCAAATCTTATGAAGAAATTCATGAGCCTCTTCAGTCTCATCTCCAGTCTTGGGAACATTCCACAATACATACACATAAAGCAACCGTACTATTTTTTAGGAATAGAATCGTGGAATCTTAGGAATTGTTTAAGGATAGTTATGGATTTTCGGTTAATCTGGGAAATATGGTTATTCCAGCCAGGAGAGATTCTTATCAAAGATTACTTCGAGGTTTTTGACTGTCGGGAGGAAATGGATGGGACAATTATTGAGGTAAAGTAGAGGAGAGAGAGTAAGTAAGGAAGGGAACTAATGAGGTGCCTAGAACCGATGAGGTTAGCCTTAGTTTTATCTGTATTCAGCTACCGACTATCTGCCGCCACAAAATTACAACGACAATTTAATTCCGTCAAGGAAGAATTACAAGCGATTAATAAGAAAATCAAGCCTGAGTAAATGAAATGAAAACGGAAGAAAACAATCCAGAAGAAAATAAATTGAGATGATTTGGCTATCTTATCCAGATGGATCAGTGCAGTCACAAGGTAGACATATGAGATTCGCGTGTAGGGGAGAAGACTGAGAAGAAGACCCCAAATCTCCTGGAAAGAAAGCGTTCAAGAGGCTTTCCAGAAGCAAGGGCTGGAATGAAACAGGGAACAAGAGCTGATGGAGGAGAGAGTAGGACCTTTGAAATCAATTACGATTTCTTGCCATGGTTTTTCTGGTAAAACTCTTCTTTTCAATAGCTCCGGAAATGACGCTGCAGAAATTAGCTGGCATCTCCTGCATGTTTTTACTGTGTGTTCTACATCTACATCCATATTTGGCCACCATACCTTAAGCCTAAGTACCCTCTTCATTGCCACGATTCCTGGATGTCCTTCATGTGTTAGTACCAATGCTCTTGATCTGAGAGAGTCAGGAAGCAGTATCCTTGTTCCCCTCAACAACAATTGATTTGCCTCACACAACTCGTTTAAAATTTTTCCATACCTTTTTAATTCTGGTAGCCATTTTCCTAAGTGTGACCATTATTTTATTTGTTTCATTCCTGAAAAATCATTATTTTCTTTTTCAATTTACTGCAGACTGATACTATGTGGTGTTCAATATTAAATTTTCAAAAATCTCCTGTGAAGAAAGCATTCAAGATACATTCCAGAAGCAATGGTTGGAATGGACCAGGAGATAAGAGCTGATGGAGGAGAGGCCTTACTGGTCCAAGCTCTACAAAAGGTAACCTCGCATTGCTTAAGCGGTAAAGATGAAACAGAATATGATGATGAAATAATCACTTATTTTAAAATTTTATGTTGTTTCCTTCAAAATATTTATGAAGTTTTAGTTTCAAATGAACATTTATGAACATGTTGGAGAAACGCTATTAATAGAATTTATCTTGCACCACTTTTTAATGAAATGCAGAAAGGCATATGACAGCATCAAAAGAAACGAGCTATATGAATACCAAGGACCCTACACCGCCCCCTTAAAACTCATTATAATGGTAAGAATGACCTTACAATATAACAGGGGCATGGTCAGGGTCCAAGGAGAATTGTCCACAGACTTCTCCATACAAAAAGGAGAGAACAGGGAGACCCCATATTCCCGGTGCTGTTTAACATGGCATTATAATAGAATTAGTTATTAGGGTAATGGGAACAAGGACTAACAGGTTTGTTTATAACAGAAAGACACAATACCTTGCATTTGATGATGTAGTCATAACAGGGCAACACCATATGCACTTTCAGAGGCACACAAAATATGTAAAGAGGCAGCAACTAAAATAGGACTCAAAATAAACAAGAAAAAACAAAATACATTTCAGAAAATAGCCCTAGGGTCAGGGCCCAAAAATTGACCTCATCATAGGAGAAGATTTGATTATAAAATACGAAAGTGTACAAATGGCATTCTGAGTAAAAAGAACCTTATTTGCCGTTCCAGAGCCGCTCCTTTCAAAAATGGTTGATTTAGAGAATATTAAGCCAGTAATTTGAGGATCGAAACCAAAAATCCATTGAGAAAAATGTGAGAAAAGATTTTATATTTTTAACTTGTATATATGAACTTAGACATGTGAAAAACGAAATTGCTAACGCGGGACACCAAGGGAAAACGTTTTAAAGCCAAAAAAGCCAGATATTTTTGACCTTTTTTTGTATTTTCACCTACAACTTCTAAACAATGCATCAAAACGAAAAATTTACTATTTAAATAATTAAAGAACGTTAAATTTTGTTTTAGTGTGTAGCTAAACTACTATTGGTTAGATCCCAAGATCTGTCTGTATTTGATCCATTTTCTATCATTCTTAACCATATAAAGTTTTATATTGATGCATTAAATACTTTTCATAACTTAGTTAATTTTCATAATGATGTAGAGATGGTTGACCGTTGATATAATATGAGAAGGAGTTTGTCGGGGGTGCGGTCAGATAAATACTAAATTAAAATATAGTAATTATTTTATTTTAATTTTGCTGACGTTTCGACCCACTTTGCAGGTCCGTCTTCAGGGATACAAAAGATACAAAACATGTTGAGAATAAAAATTAAATATAAGTAGATATAAAATAAGAAGAAGTTGTCAGATACAGAAATAAAAGATGATATCAGAGATATAATGGGTGACAATGTAGTAAAGTATTAAGTATTAATATTAATACAAGTAAAGTAAAGTAGTAGTCGTAGTAGTAGTAGTAAAGTAAAGTATTAATACTTTACTACATTGTCACCCACTATATCTCTGATATCATCTTTTATTTCTGTATCTGACAACTTCTTCTTATTTTATATCTACTTATATTTAATTTATATTCTCAACATGTTTTGTATCTTTTGTAGCCCTGAAGACGACCTGCAAAGTGGGTCGAAACGTCGGCAAAATTAAAATAAAATAATTACTATATTTTAATGTAGTATTTATCTGACCGCACCCCTGACAAACTCCTTCTCTTAGTTAATTTTCATTGTATCACAATGATTTTTTTTTCTCACTAAAATGCTCAGTTCAAAAAATGTCAACAGTCTATTCTGTAACATATCTATTATAGGATGCAATCATTATTGGCTAAAACTTTCTCTCTCTGTGGTCCATGAAGTGCATTGGCCTCCTTAACAACTCTCTTCCACTCAGAGCAATCTTATTATTTTTAGGATTTTCCTCTGCTATGTATTCCTCTCCATTTACTTTGTAAGAGTCCACATTGCAAGGTTCATTGGCAAACATTGCTACTGGTGGGAGGAGGGTCTTATGTATTCTTACTTTGATTTCTTGGAATGATTTCAATTTAGAAGAATTTTCTTGAGTACCCAACAGCATTTTGAATTCTGACTTTTATATTTTATTATTTTCCGTGGTAATGCTGCCAAGGTACTTGAATTCTGTGACTTTTTCTAAACTATGTCCTCCCTATCATTTTGAAAATGACATTAAGAAAATAATGACATATTGGCCTGAAGCTAATGGAGAAGTAGAAAGGCAAAATAGGTCATTGTTAAGACCTATTGTAGAGATTAAAGTTGCACAGAGTTTAGAAGGATGAACTATATAAATATCTCTTATATTATAGAATGACCACCCATAACACAACTGGAGTCACCGGATGAAGCATTCTTTAGTCGATCCTTAAGGACCAAAATTCCTCAAATTGAAAATAAAATTTCACTATTGAATGAAGAGATGAGAGACAAGGATAGATGGGAGAAAGAAAAAGGAAAAGAGTATCAAGGAAGGAGATGGTCCGGGGTGGTGGTCATAAATAGACTAAATAGTGGCAAAACTATTTAGTCTATTTATGACTCCCACCCCGGACCATCTCCTTCATTAGTAATACAACGGTCAACTATTAAGTATTCAATTCGAAAAGAGTATCAGATGAAGCTAAGGAAGACAGTCCCAAGTTCAGTCCAAAAAGGAGATCTAGTTTGGAGGCGTAGAGATGTGGTGCACAAGTCAACCTCAAGATTCCATTCTGAGCCTTATAAAGTGGAAGCTTAAGGCTCGTTAGTGACGGCGAAGGCTGAATCGGGTCCTCGAATCACAGGAAATAGTAGTTTCTTTAAGATAATGGAACAGGATGCGGAAGAAGAATCACAGTCGAACAATATGAAAGCAGATAGGGCACAAGAAGAAAGATATGAGTTTGATATTAGCAGGCACAAGTAGAAAAAAGAAGTAGAGGGAAAGGCAACTAATAATTGGAGGAACAAACCAACACCAACAAAACAACCACATTACTTAAAGGATTATGTTCTTTTTTAATGTTAAATGATGTTTATTTTAAATGCATACAAAAAAAGTGATTTAGTGTTGGTAACATAGGGAGAGAAATAATTTATGTATCATGCATTAGAACTTAGTTGTTATAAGTACGAATTATGAGTTATAAGTTGTCAAGAGAATAAAAACTCACTAACTAATTGAAAATTGTTTAATTGTTGTTGAATTTAATTTTTTTTTGTCTAAATAATATATGTGTTTAGAATAAGTGTAAATTTGATTATTGTACTGTTACAATTTTTTTTTTCTATTTTTTACCTTACACATTTTTTAAGATACTTTAACCATGGCCTTGTATCCTCAAGAAATAAGTTATGTCGCAGTATAGGAATTAAAACAGCTTATAATATCACATCTGTTCCTCCATAAAAAAGTAACAGTTTAAAAAAGAGATTGTTTAATGTTTTGCTAAAAATTAAATTAATAATTTAATAAAAATTAAAAATGCTAATTTTTCTCCAGCAGCATCCCCACTAATTTTAGATACAAGTCGACTGTAAATTCTTCATCATTTCACAATTTTTGTTTCAAGTAACATTGAATCATTAAGTAGAGTTTTACAGTAAAAAAATTGTTTGAATCTAAAAATATGAAATCATTGCTTAACTAACTTATACAATTTCATTATGAAACAAAAATCACATTAGAAGCAATAGAAAATAAAGTTTTGAATTTGGCTGTTTACCATCGCAGAAGGAATTAATTTAAAACATTGATTAAGTGATAAACTTTTAGAAGTATGTACAGGATATTATTCGAAAAATAAATACCAGAGAGAAATGTTAATATTTATTTCCTATTAAATACAAGCAATGGAGTCTACTAGACTCTTGTAAGACGTTCATTCAAATATAACCATTTTCTAGAAAGAATAATAATAATTATGCTGATGGTAATTATGGAGCCAAGTAAGTGGTTTATGTCCAAACTGAAAGTTTCATAAGGTTGTTAAAATGGTTATTGTTTTGTGATAAACTTGGCTATTACAGAAACATTTTTGTTTTATTAATAAAACCTCGAAAAGAGGCATTTCAGATCACCATATACTTAAAAAATATTAAGATCAACAATAGTAGAATCTTAGTAGAGATCATAATTCAAGCACTATGAAGTAAAACTATTTTGTGTTCGGCCAATGATATCTAAAATGAAAATTATCTTATGTTCTGCAAATGATACCTAAATTGAAAATTATCTTATGATCTGCTAATGATATCTACATTATTAAACCTGGTCACAGGACAAAACAACCTGCACAATCGCCACTCATATTACAAATTGAGGTTGTCAGAAGTCATTTCTTTGTTTTGCTCAACAGATACTAAATCATTGGATACTTTCTAAACATTTCTCAGCCCTCAGACAAATTCAAATATAAGAAAAATTGTATTTACATTATCATACGACAAACAGACTATTAAAATATGAGGTGCTCAACAATGGTAATCCAGCAATATAACAAAGAACAGTAAGAGAAAAAAATAATAAATATCACATATCTTGTTTATAATATTGCAATAATCAATTATTAACAATTTGATATTCCATAAACTTATTACAATAAATTTCCAATAGAATTTTATCATACTTCCTAATTTCCTTAATTAAAAATGTAAAAATAAAATTTATTGAAAAGTTGAGTAGAAGCAGATTTGATTATACCTAGTTTTGATCAAAAAACTTGGAAATATAAATTTCAAGGCAGGATTAAAACCACAGAACACAAAACAAAATGCACGAAAAAAATAAATCAATAGAGCACCAATAATATTGACATGTCTCACATCCACAAGATGGGAAAGCAAGGATTTATTTCCCATATCAATTTGTAAAATGAGAATTACTGATTACAGTATTCTTTTGTAATAGAACAATAAGAACAAAAAACTGCAATCTGAAGGTAGTAAGAAAGAAATCATGGATAAAACTAAACTCTATGTATATGTTTATGTAGCAATAATTAAACTCTATATAAATGTACTCATGAACACATACTTTCGGATGTATAAATTACATCCAAAATTATTTACGCATACAATAGGTATGTATCTATATATCACAAACAATAAAAAACAAGTTTAAACTCAAGATTTAAAAAAAAAAATTTAAAATATAAATAAATTGAAAATTAAATCAACCAACCCATGTTTCTCTATTGCTTTCAGGGTCAACAAATATCAAATGAGTTGCAGTAATATATAAATTGCCTAAAGTCACTTTTCTGCAATTATATCTATCTAACATTCGAACATTTTCTACCTGTAAAAATAATAAAAATGACAAAAATCGGTTGTATAAATTTAAAAATTCAACAATCTATCATTTAAATAAAACCTTGGGAGTTCTTATTAAATCCATTTAACCCAAATATTCTTATAAGTCCATAATAAAAGTTAAAATTCTTTTTTTAAAAACAAACGGATTTTGACTTCCACGATCACTAATAACAACATGAGAGATTAGAAAAGTTAAAATTAATAGTATACACCAACATTGAAGTAGGCGTGGTCGGGAGTTGGCATACATAAGTAAGTATTGGGTGCTTGATTGTATTTTGATCATTTTTTTACTTTAAAAAGGCATTTATTAAGAAAAATAGGTACAAAATATATCAATCAAGAGATTTTCCATCAATTTCAACTTCTTTTTCACATATTTCTTGTAACATAGTGGTACCGCATCGAAAGCACGATTTTGGTTTGGCAACAATCCATTTATCAATTAATTTTTGCACTTCTTCAGCATTTCGAAAACGTGTGCCAGCCAAGCCATACTGCATCGATCTGAACAAATGGTAATCAAAGTCGCTATGTTGGTGAGTACACTGAATGCGGCAGTGTTCCATCTGCAACAGTGTATCCTTCACAGAACGTCCAAAGCGTGGAGTAACGTTGTCATGCAAGAAATTTACTTTGCGTTTGTTACTCGCTATTGCTAATCTTTATTGCATCAATAAGTCATTCAATTTGTTAAATTGACGTATGTAGACATCTGCAGTAACTGTTTCAATCAGGTTTAGCAGTTCGTAAAACACGACTCCTTCCGGATCCCACCATATGCATAACATGACATTATAGCCAAGAATATTCCACTTCGGTATTAATTTTGTTTGCTCTCCTAGATCGACTCATGACTTTTTTGAGCTTGGTATTGTCGTAGTAGATCCATTTTTCATCGCCAGCCACAGTATATCCCAGAGAACTCTTATTTTTACCCGATAAGCAATGAAACCGCAATGTTTAAACAGTTCGAAATGGAATTTTTAGTCAATTCGTTTGGTAGCCATTTTCCCTCCTTTTGGATCCTTCTCATCGCACGCAAGCTTCTGGAAACAATCGATTCATCAACTGCTAAGTAGTCTGAAAGTTCTTTGAGAGTTTTAGCTGAGTGTTCGTCCAATCATCATCATCATATGTGGCACGACATCCCGTTACCGAGACTGGGCCTCCTCCAAGAGCCTCCGCCAGTTGGCTCTGTCTTCTGCTGCAGCTCTCCAGTTCCGTAAACCAAGCAGGGTTCTCGCATCATAGGCCACGTTGTCTAACCATCTCGTCCTCGGCCTTCCTACCCGTCTTACGAGGTGCAGCTCCTCCATCATTATTTTCTTTGGTATTTCAACGGTGCTCATTCTGGCCATATGCCCTGCCCACCTTAGTCTGGCCAGTTAAATATACGTGACTACGTCGATGTCTGTATAAAGAGAACTGAGCTCCCTATTTTTTTTTTTTTTTTTCCTCCAGACATCACCCTCCTTTACTGGACCATAAATCCTTCTGAGGACTCCTCGCTCAAACACACTCAGCTTCATCTCATCGTTTTTAGTCATCGTCCAAGCCTCTGAGCCATATGTCAAAACAGGCCGAATAAGGGTCTTGTATATGATCAGCTTGGTCTTCTTTGAGAGGTGCCTACTTCTTAAGTGTCGGCCAAGTCCAAAGACACATCTATTGGCAGCCGTGATCCTTCTCTGCATTTCTTGAGCCATGTCATTTTTGCTATTAATTTCAGACCCAAGGTATATACAACTTTTCACTCTCTCAAACTTAAAAGAACCTACCTCAAATGGAGAGTTCAGATCCACCTCACCACCAACTCTCATATACTTAGTTTTCCTCTCGTTGACTTCTAGACCAAGTGGTCTTGCAGCTGCTTCAAGGCCTATAAACGCTTCTCTGAGAGCCCCTTCAGACCTACCTATTATGTCAATATCATCAGCAAAACCAAGAAGCTGTGTCATTATATCGTTGGTCTGAATACCGGAGTCTCTTACAGCTTTCTCCTCTGCCAAGTTGAACAATAGACAGGCTAGGGCATCCCCTTGCCGAACCCCACTGCTCACTTTAAACTCTTCGGAGGCATCAGAACCGAAGCGTATTCTACATCTCGAGCTGCCCATGGTCATCTTGATTAGGCGTACGAGCTTCTGAGGGATGCTTAGCTCCTCCAAGGCACAGTATAGTTGTGTTCTATCAACGCTGTCGTATGCTGCTTTAAAGTCCAGGAATAAAGGGTGGGTGACTACCTTACGCTCCATAGTCTTTTCTAGGATCATCCTCAGAGAGAACAGTTGATCAGTGATCAAGAGTCCTCTTCGAAATCCAGCCTGATATTTCCCCAGTTCCTTTTCAGAATACGGGAGGATCCTCTCAAAAAGAATGTTAGAGAGCAGCTTATAAGCACACGAAAGGAGTGAGATTCCTCGATAGTTAGCGTATTCTGTTTGATCTCCTTTCTTATATATTGGACAGATAATGGCTGTTGCCCATTCCGTAGGCATAGCTTCCCTCTCCCAGATGGTCAGCATTAAATCATGCAGAGCTTTCTTGAGTTCTTCACCTCCACATTTCAACAGCTCTGACTGGATTCCGTCCGGGCCTGGCGCCTTTCCATTTTTCAATTTCCTCAGGGCGTTTTCCATTTCCTCCTCATCGGGGGGGTTCAATAGAATTCAGGGAGCCTTCCTTGATTACTGCTACTTCTCCAGGCACCGTTCCTCTGGTTAATGCGTCTTTGAAATGTTGTACCCATCTCCTTAGTACGTCATCTTTGTGGCTTAAAAGAGTTCCGTTCGTGTCTTTGCATGCCGTCACTCTGGGCCTGAAAGCTGCCCTACCCTCGTTTATTCTCTGAAGGAACAGCCGCGCAATGCCTCTGTGTCCTCCATGTTCTTATTTTCCCAAGCTTTTCTGTTTCCGCGGAATAACCTCTTCTCTTCGCGTCTTTTTCTTCGATATGTTTCTTGGGAGAGCCTTGTTTGACGCTGAACCTTCTTTCTGTAGGCTTCATTTTTCACTTTTACTGCTTGAAGGCACTCAGCATCAAACCATGGGGGCCTTCTAGATTTAGTCTCGTAGCCAAGAGATTCTTCTGCTGCCTGTTTCATTGCGTTACTACATCTCTTCCACTGTTCATCGACCATAGAGCTGTCATTAATTACTTCTTCATTAAGTTTCGTCTCCACAGTTTGTTGATACGAATATTGGTGGTCTGAGTCCTTAAGTTTAGCTACATCAACTTCTTCGTTGGTCGTTGGTAGTGGTTTTTAATCAGCGAAATTCGTGATCTGACCTCGGCACTGCTCAAATAGTGATCCGTGTCCATATTTGCACCTTGATAAGATCTTGCATTTATCATGTTGGACTTGTAACGGGCACTAATGAGTACATGGTCTATCTGTGATGTTGTTTGCCCATTTGGAGAGATCCATGTTGCTTTGTGGATATTCTTTCGAAGAAAAAGAGTTGCTCCAACAACCAGTCCGTGCAATGTAGCAAAGTTCACCATCCGTAGCCCATTATCATTACTGGTCTCATGCAAGCTGTGGGTTCCTATGGTCGGCATGAGTGCCACCTCCTTACCAACTTGGGCGTTAAAGTCACCAAGAATGATTTTAACATCATTTTTGGGACAGCTTTCTGTCACGCGTCCAAGTTCTTCATAAAATGTTTCCTTATCCTCCTCAGGTGACACCTCTGTTGGGGCATGGCATTTAATTACAGAGAAATTAAAAAAATTTCCTCTAAGCCGAATGTACCATAACCTTTGGTTAATGGGAGTAAATCGCATCACTAGCTGTCGAGCTCTGCCTCTCACAACAAATCCGGTACCGAAGATGTGATGCTTTTCATGGCAGCTATAGTAGAGTGTATGGTACTTCTTCTCCATAATTCCCTGTCCTATCCTGTTTTCACTTCTGCAAGGAGCGCACGAAGTGCTCCTAGTTTATGTAATGATAAAATGTTCCGAAATCCAATTCTTAGGTCATTTAGGCATTTTCTGGGCCTGTTACCGTAATTCAGTCCGGCTTCTTATCTTTGAGGTTCCGTAATAAGGTACTTTAGGGAGGGTGGGTTATCAGCCCATTGCCCCCGAGTCAGGTAGAGGGGCTGCCTCCTCCGAGCCTCCTGACTAGCTCCCCATCCTGGGCGGCTACCTAGGGAAGGTGAACCTAGGGTGTGTACTGTAGGTGACCTTTGTCTGTAGTGTTTAGGTGTTGTAGTGTGCTGTATAAAGTGTACTTGGTGTGTGAGTGTTCATGTAAGTGTTCCGCCAACCTGGAGGACTAGGTCGTCTAGGTTCGTCCAATAAGTCTTGCAATTGATTCTCTTCAAATTTGTTGGTCCTCCAGGTCGTTCTTTGTCACTGACATCGAATTCATCACTCTTAAATCATTAAAACCAAAACCGACAACTGCGATATGACGGACCAACATCACAATAAGTTTCTATCAGTCTGATGGGCTTCAACAGCAGATTTCATCAAATCAAACAAAAAAGAGCAAAAAAAGCCTACCATTGTCCATTCACTATTATAAACTTTATCAGTTCTTACTTTAACATGTAGAGAACGGGATGGCCGAGCACGTTGGGACGTGGGTTCCAGAGTGCCCGATTTTGAACGTTGTGGGTTCGATTCCCCATCTGGGTCGGTTACTTTTCATTTCTCGGCATCCCTGATAAATGGGTCGTGACATTTCAATTCTGGCAAATACACGGCTGCAACCTCAAGGTAGCCGTCAGCGGTTGGCATAAAAACCAAGATAGGCCCACTTGCCGGACTTTTTTGTGGCGGCTAATAGGTCAGAAGGGGGAAGGACAGGTACTTTTGGAAATCGTCGGCATAGATGTGGTATTGGGTGTGATGGATCAGGAGGGGAAGGTTATTAATGTAAATAGCAAACTGAGTAGGAGATAAGGATTAACACTGAGGGACACCACAGGACAGGGAAAGTGTCTTGGGCTGACCGGCCACCGAAAGCGCAGCTGAGCTGAGTTGAGCGTAGACACGAGTTACCGACCGCTTTAATATTATCCCTGATCTCTACCCATAACTTGTCAATATCCTCGCGATCCTAGTCA